TCTCTAATATTCATATAGTTGTTGACTTTGTGGTACTGCTTTCTTTTTGACTTCTTGTTCAATTACCTTAACTCTAGGAAGTTACCAGGAAATTTCGTGGAGCGAATCCATACCCTTCTGAAACAGACATCGACTTTATTTGTCCACTTGCGTGGATAAAATAAAGAAGCATTTAGAGATTTTTGGTCGCTTTTTTCTCGGTTTTGGTCATTTTTTTCCTATTTGAGAACGAAACATTTTCAGTTTTTTTTTTCTTTTATAAACCTGCCATCGTTGAACAAAATAGTAGACCGTTTGACTATAATAACTGACAAATGACAATTGAGCAGAGAAACGTAAATTTAATCTTGCAGACGTATTTAATGTCATTGACTGTTGGCTTCAAAGGCAAATGACATTTTCAAATATGTTAGCTCCGATTACTGTAAACAAAATATGCAATCACTCTTGGATGGCCAATGGCATGATTCGATGATTTTATTTAGTCTGGAGATGTTGATTGCGTTTAAGGATTAATGTCTGTTTTGTTTATTCTTCTAGTGACCAATGATTTAGTTGTTTTAGTGTTCTTCAATCAGCTCACGTTTTCCTGATTTCATGACCAGGAAAAGATACGGGTTGCCTTCTATGTTCAAAAGGCAGCTCTTCAGTTCATTGATGGTAAGATATGCATTGTTGAATTTCAGAGATGCATGGTTTCCAGAATTTGGTGGGTTATTGGGTTTATGATTATTTAATTTTCCTTTTCTTTTGATTGTGTATTTCTTCAGCTGCTGCCCGTCGTGAATATAAACTCACTGATGAGGTCAAACAAGCGGGATTTTACGTTGAAGCAGATGAGCTTGCTTCTATGGTTCGAAACCATGACACAAAGAGTCTGATGAACAGTGGAGGAGCTGAAGGAATTGCTCAGAAAGTGTCTGTATCTGTCACTGAAGGTGTCCGTTCGAGTGAGATACACATCAGAGAAAAAATCTATGGAGAAAATCGTTATGCTGAGAAACCAGCCAGATCATTCTTAATGTTTGTTTGGGAAGCGCTTCAAGACGTAACCCTTATCATCCTTATGGTCTGCGCTGTAGTGTCGATAGGAGTGGGAGTTGCCACAGAAGGATTTCCAAAGGGAATGTATGATGGGACCGGGATCTTGCTAAGTATAATCTTGGTTGTCATGGTTACTGCTATCAGTGACTACAAGCAATCTTTGCAGTTCAGAGATTTGGATCGAGAGAAGAAGAAGATTAATATTCAAGTCACCAGGGATGGGAATAGACAAGAGGTCTCCATCGATGACTTGGTTGTTGGAGATGTGGTTCATTTATCTATTGGGGATCGAGTCCCAGCTGATGGGATTTTTATTTCTGGATACAATCTGGAGATAGACGAGTCAAGCTTATCTGGAGAGAGTGAACCATCACACGTGAATAAAGAGAAGCCGTTTCTGCTTTCGGGAACCAAAGTCCAAAATGGCTCTGCGAAAATGCTGGTGACAACTGTTGGTATGAGGACTGAGTGGGGGAAGTTGATGGAAACTCTGAGTGAGGGTGGAGAGGATGAGACTCCTCTGCAGGTGAAGCTAAACGGGGTTGCAACCATCATAGGTAAGATTGGTTTAGGCTTTGCAGTGCTTACGTTTGTGGTGCTGTGCATAAGGTTCGTTATAGGGAAAGCCACTGCTGGTAGAATCACTGAATGGTCTTCTGAAGATGCACTGACACTGCTTGACTACTTTGCAATTGCCGTAACTATCATTGTCGTTGCTGTACCCGAAGGGTTACCTTTGGCTGTGACCTTAAGTCTGGCATTTGCTATGAAGCAGTTAATGAGGGACAGGGCACTTGTGAGGCATCTGGCTGCTTGTGAGACAATGGGTTCTTCTACCTGCATTTGCACGGATAAGACAGGGACCTTAACCACTAACCACATGGTAGTCAATAAAGTTTGGATATGTGAAAATATCAAGGAGAGGCAGGAGGAAAACTTCCAGCTGAACCTATCTGAACAAGTTAAGAATCTCCTTATACAGGCCATATTTCAGAACACTGGTTCTGAGGTCGTGAAGGATAAGGAAGGAAAAACTCAGATCCTGGGATCACCTACAGAGAGAGCGATACTGGAATTTGGTTTGCTTTTGGGCGGTGACGTTGAGACGCAACGCCGAGAGCATAAGATACTAAAGATCGAACCTTTCAACTCAGACAAGAAGAAAATGTCTGTTCTTACATCTCATTCTGGTGGCAGTGTACGCGCTTTCTGCAAAGGTGCATCTGAAATCGTCTTGAAAATGTGCGAGAAGGTTGTGGATTCAAACGGAGAATCTGTTCCGTTATCCGAAGAAAAGATTGCAAATATCTCTGAAGTCATAGAGGGGTTTGCTTCAGAGGCTCTGAGGACTCTCTGCTTGGTTTACACGGATCTTGATGAAGCTCCCAGTGGGGATCTTCCGGATGGTGGGTACACATTGGTTGCAGTTGTTGGAATCAAGGATCCAGTTCGCCCCGGTGTTAGAGAAGCCGTCCAGACTTGTCAAGCTGCTGGAATCACTGTTCGTATGGTCACTGGTGATAACATAAGCACGGCCAAAGCTATTGCAAAGGAATGTGGGATACTTACCGCAGGAGGTGTAGCTATTGAAGGTTCAGAATTCCGTAATTTGCCTGCCCATGAAATGAGGGCCATTTTACCCAAAATTCAGGTTTTGATTTAGATTAGTATACTGGATTCTTAATCCTCTCATCTGTCTCTCGAAATGTTTAGAGCATCTTAAGAATATCCACTTTTTTTTGTTGTTGTCTCTAACTTCAGGTGATGGCTCGGTCTTTGCCGTTGGACAAACATACACTAGTCAACAATTTGAGGAAAATTGGAGAGGTAGTTGCAGTGACTGGAGATGGAACTAATGATGCTCCTGCATTGCATGAGTCTGACATTGGACTTGCCATGGGAATAGCTGGAACAGAGGTTAGCCTTTGTCTTTGTGACTGATTCATCATATCATTGGCAAATCAAAAATCTTTGAATCTCCTCTCATATTAAAACTCCCGGGGACACACAGGTTGCGAAAGAGAATGCTGATGTAATCATAATGGACGACAACTTTGCAACGATAGTGAATGTGGCGAAATGGGGACGTGCTGTGTACATAAACATCCAGAAGTTTGTTCAGTTCCAGCTAACTGTTAATGTTGTTGCCCTGATCATCAACTTCGTCTCTGCTTGCATCACAGGTAACTAAAATCAAACACACATACACAATTTCACCAATGGTTGTTTTGAAGAACAGTTTCACCTATACTTGTTTTACAACTTTTCAGGATCTGCACCACTCACTGCAGTGCAATTGCTTTGGGTCAACATGATCATGGACACACTCGGGGCATTGGCTCTAGCAACCGAACCTCCCAACGAAGGTTTAATGAAACGTCAACCAATCGGTAGAACCGCAAGCTTCATCACCAAAGCCATGTGGAGAAACATCATTGGTCAAAGCATTTATCAGCTAATCGTCCTCGGCATTCTCAACTTTTCTGGCAAACAAATACTCAACCTCAACGGCCCAGATTCAACAGCCATTCTCAACACCATCATCTTCAACTCCTTCGTCTTTTGCCAGGTAACTAATAACCGCACTCAACCATAACAAGTTAAAAACCAATACCAAAAAAAAAAGTGTTTCTGAAAGAAAGAAAAAGACAACACTAAAATGCTTTGCACAAAACAGGTGTTCAACGAAGTAAACAGCCGAGAGATAGAGAAGATAAACGTGTTCAAAGGAATGTTCAACAGTTGGGTGTTTGTTGCTGTAATGACTGCAACAGTTGGATTCCAAGTGATCATTGTTGAGTTCCTTGGAGCATTCGCAAGCACTGTTCCCTTGAGCTGGCAACACTGGCTTCTCTGCATTTTCATTGGTTCCATAAGCATGATTCTAGCCGTTGGTCTTAAATGCATACCGGTGGAGTCGAACCGTCATCATGATGGTTATGAGCTGCTTCCTTCTGGTCCATCTGACTCTGCCTGACCCCGCATTCTCCAGTAATTGCTACGTCATTTTTTCTATATTTGATTTTGAATTTTTTTATATACATATAATTTTCCGGAATAGTGATTTGATTTCATTATGTATAAAATCTAACACGCTTGCTTGCGTTACCGGGGTTTGTTTTTTCTTTCTTTTTGGTCCAACCCAATCTTTTGATTTCTGAAGAAGCTTGTCCTGATTTGGAATTGTGTTGATTCGCTCTTTTCTTTCAAGGTCACGATGCCTGTGGACCTGTGGTCCCATCAGTTTTGGGTGAAAAATAAACAAAGCTTCTCTTGGTCGTCGTTTAGAAGAAATCAAGAGATGAAGGTGAAAAACATTTATGTTCGTTCATCATTTGTTACAACCAGATAATTGTTTCAATCAAACATCCAGTAAAACTCTATAAACATGAGTCTGAAGCCACGAGCAACACGGGAAAAAGCTTTCATCAAACTGTGTTTACTGTTGCGCATCATTCTTGGTTTTTAAGCAACACAGGAAGGAAAGCTTGAATGATCAATCACACAAAGACACTCACTATTTAAGATCAACTTGCTTCTCGAGCCAAAGGCAAGTAAGCGATGCCTTGTTAAATTTAACTAGTGTGTGCGAAAACCAATGTCATTCCCAATTAAGAGGCAGCAGAAATCAATGCCTGAACAACAACAGTTACATCAGAAGCCGAAATCAGAAAGTAACACCAGTGGACACTAATATCAACCACGATGATGGCCATATATCATCACAGTCACTCCAACGGTACGATAACTAATGACCTAAGGATCATAGCAAAAGCATTGAAAATCTTTAAAACGATGAATCTTCCTAAATAGGCTTAACCAAACTGGCTGAAACCTTAGCTAGCCTCATAAAAGGATCCAGAGTGTTAGGCATTAGTGTTTCAGATATATTAAAGAACTGATAATTTCTGATATCATTTCCTTTGTAAGGATGTAAAGAAAGAAACGCATTACAATCAGCGACGAAGAATCGACTCATCTGAGAACTTCTCAAGCTTCTCATCAGCAGCCTTAAGTGCGCGCACAAGATGCAATATTCGGTAACTTTGCTTCTCGTTTTCAGTGCTCAATTCCTTCACCTAGTAGATGAATCCATAGTCAAAACTCCAAAACAAGGTATACAAACCCACAAAGGTAAAAAAAAAAGAAAAGGAAATGAAACAATGTGAAGAGTAAGAGAATAAGAGATTACCTTCTTCTGTTCTTGCTTCACTGTGTCGTTAGCCTCATCGAGCTTTGACTGGATTCGGGTGATCTTCTCCACAAGTTCTGCATCTGGAATGTCTGAGAAGAAAGAATTTATAACTTCATGTCTGAAGATCCGACTCAATCACTTGTTTCAGAACTCAGAGATTAGTAGGAAGAAAGAACCTGTCTTGGTCGACGCAAGAGTAGCTTCAAGCCTAGCCAATCGCTCCTGCAAAACAACACGTGAATTGAGAAATTAACGTAGTAATGTGGAAGGAATTGCTTGTTCATGTCATCCGCAGATTCAAAAACAATTGATAAATGCTTTTGGTGTGTAAAGGTTCGCAATTCACATAATGGAGTGAGTGAAAAATATAGAGAGAACCTGAGCTTCGGTGGCTCTGTGAAAGAAGGGTTTCAGTGTCTCTGGAAGATCATCCGCCATAACTTCTCACCTCTCTTCTTGGCAGACGGAATCAATTTCAACTACACTGTCAAAAAGGAATAAAGACCCAAACCGAACCGGATTAGACGTGTTCTAAAATACGGGCCGTTTAAAAACACTTTCCCTTGGCCCTTTTGCTATAGACCTTAGACTGTAAGCCAAATTTTTAAAATTGCCAATTTACATCATTGGTTTGGGCTCAGGCGGTAAACTAGAAATTGACTTTAATTCATATTATTAATATTTTTATTTTAGTTTACATATTATTTTATTATTATAAAATATGTAAATTTATTATAAAAGTGTAAATATTTATGTCTTTATACTAAATATTTTTATTTAATTGAATTTTATGTGGTTTATTTCCAACAACATCAATAAAATGATTATATAATTGATCCTATACATATTTTTTTTATTTTTTATTCGAAATAATTTTTTTATTTGGTAAAGAATTTATAATTTTATAATTTGTAAAATAAAAATAGTTATTTTTTTACTTTTAAACTAATGTCAATTTTATAATTTCTTTTCAATACAATTGAGAATTTGGAGTTTGATCTTTGCGGTTGAGTTCATGATAGTAAGTAAAACCGCTCTTTTTTTATACTAAACTAATCGATTTTTAACTCAAAAAAACAAGAAAATTTATCACCGATCAGTTAATATCATTAACGGGAAGCAGAAGTGAAAATATTGGACAAAAATTCATTTTTACTTTAATCATGCTTTCTAGTTAGCTGCTAAGAATGACCATTTATTAACTTTTTATCTTGATTTTTTGGTTTCAAATCAAATTTTACAATTTCTGTCTATCTCAATCTAATTTCTCGACGCCTTCATGTTAATAGCGTAAAACTGGGCTTACGAGATCTAACCACTCTCTCTTGTGGATCAATTTCTGATGTGAGTGAAACACTTCACTTGTGGTTGGTTGATGTGAGTGATTCCATCAACAGGAGAGCTTGAGAAAACAAAGGGAGAGAACATGGAAAAGAAAGATCACAAAGCTTGGATTACAAGCTACCACCTCAGCTTAGTGATCTGTGGATCAATTTTGATTTCCTCCTCAAAGTCAGCACAAGTTTCATCAGAAATTCCCCAGTAACCCTTCAGCCCTTAGATGATGGCAATCATTGTATGAAGAAGAATAGAATTAGACATTAGCACAAGTCATGAACGATTAAAGAACGCACGAACGATTTACTATAACCGTTTTTATATAGTATTTCCTACCAACTAGTGTGTGAATTAAGTGTTTTATGTTTTTTCCATGTCATTTATGATAAGAGGATGGTTAATAATAGCTCAAAACTAAATGATCCATGGAATAAGAGGATGATAAAAATACCTATGCTTAACGTCTATCGTTAAATCGACAATAATATATATACCGATGTACGTTAAAAGAGTAAAACTTGAATAAGAAAATCTGTACACTTGACTCAAAAACTAGGAACCATCTTTAATACTAAAACCTGCCTGAAGTTAACATCTATTGAAGCTTTGAACCATCTTCGTATTAGTTAGCATCTGTCTGCTGCCTTGGAGCCATTTGGATCGAATTCTCCATTCGTTGCAGACAAGACTGCAGGTTCAAGACTCTCGTTTATGCTCTTTGTTTGTCTCTTTACCCTTTTTGTTCTCTGAGGCTGAAGGGGAGCATCTCCTTCACCATTCGCTTCTTCCTTTGCTTTCTGAGAAACTCTAGATTTCGGAGTTGAAGCAGCTTTCCTCTGCAACGTTTAAACATAAATGCTCCGTTTTAGCAAATACTAAAACCAGAAGTTATCAACTAAACAACCAAGACAAGCTACACTAGTAGACCAACTATCATTTTTCATTGCCGCTATAGGCCTTGTAGTGCCGTGCCAAAGGACATGAACCACATAAAGGTCATGAGAAAACGTGAGCAAAAGAGTTTTGAGTTTGCAGCATACATACCTTTTTGTTAGTAGACTTTGTCTTCTCCGGTTCTTGGGAAGGTTCCTCTCCATTATCCTGTCGTCCAGCCTCTTCCAGCTCTTCCAACGTCGCATCTCCTTCAGCATCTATTCTTATACATTTCGTTGACTGTTTTTTCTTCTGTCTGTCCTTTACCTGGAAGGTCAAAATGAGTGAAGTTATGAATGGCGGAATTCAGAACCATTTTTAAGCTACCTTCTCCTTTGTGTTGTGAGATATTATATGTAATAAGAATGCTGTCCCCACCTGTAATGGTAGTTCTCTGAATTTCTGCTCCAGTTGTGCTGCCTCTGCATCATCCATAAGCAACGACACCACATCCGCAGTTCCAAAAACATCATCACCCTGAACAGTTCCTCCTGTCATAACAAGCTGCTGAACTGTATTTTTCTGACTTGCCCTGTGTAAAATTTTCTCTTCCACAGTCTCCTTGCAGATGAGCCGATACACAGTCACCTAAAAGAGGTTTTAGTTTCAGAAAAAAAAAGGAATCAGGCGAGATATTAAAGTATCCCATTGTTAATAGATGCTTGTTCTTTTTGGTTTTATAATGTTGAAACAAAGAAAATGGCAGTCACTTCACAGTATTTTTTTTTTTTTGAAAGCGATTAGAAGAATAAAGGACAGAGAAAATCACTGACATCTTTTGTCTGACCAAGACGATGAGCTCTGTCCATAGCTTGTAAATCCAAGGTGGGATTCCAATCACTTTCATAGAAAATGACAGTGTCTGCAGCCGTCAAGTTGATACCAAGCCCTCCAGCTCTGGTGCTCAGCAAGAATACGAAAATATCGCTCCTGCAACCATGTAAAGTTTACAATTGTGCTCATGAAGCCTAACGAATAAAAAAAAAAGAGGCTTCAGAAAGTTATAGCCTACCTATGCTGAAAATCCCTAACCATATCTCGGCGATCCATGATGGTGGAGGATCCATCAAGCCTGAGGTACTTGTACTTTCTATAGTTCATGTAATCCTGCATAGACATGAAGATGAACATGTAAAGGGAACTGCAAAAGTGGATGTTTGTAATTAATAAGACCACAAATTCATTCGCACAGTGAGGTTAAAGGCTTGTGTCTATACCTCGAGAATATTCAACATCTTTGTCATTTGTGCAAACAGAAGCACCCTGTGATTTCCAGCTCGAAGCCGCTTCAATAATATATCAAGTGTCTGCAGCTTCCCAGAGTCCTACAGTTCCAATTTTGTAATAAGAAACAAGATCTGATATCAAAGCCACTAAGCGTAAAAGGAAGCTGCAACAGAGAAGAAACTACCGTGAGCAACTTTGCTGGGTCGAAACTTTGCATTGGCGGGCAAGAACCAAATATTCTGTGCGTCAGTTGAAGAGCAGGTTGCACAACTGGAAGTTCTGAATCAATTTCTTGGATTAGAGGATGTGGAAGGCTGTTCGGCTTACTGGGTCCATTGGCTTCCGACGTTCGCGCAAAACCAATGAATAGTCTCTTAAGCCATGGCTGATGTAGTTCTTCTGTAATTCTGTACGCATAATTTCTGTCCGAGCAATGAACGCTAATCTGAAAATTGCAAATTCAAATAGAGCATGGTTGAGAAGACTTGGTAAGGATCTACTGTGGTAGATAAATGGCAACTTCCCAATTCAAAGAAATCATACCGGTGGAGCTCTGGCTTTTGGGATAAAAGTATACGCAGAATGCAGGAGTTTGATATTTGAAAGAAGCCTATCCTGATGAGAGATCACTAGAGATTCTAATGAGTGACGGGTAGGCCCTGCGCCTAGTCTACCTTTCACCAAATTCGTTTCAACTTTTGATGGCATCAGCAACATTCTTGTGACAGCCCTGGTTTGAACTTTTTTGACGTTATCTCCACTAAATTCATCATCCATTAAAGAGTCTACTAATAGTTCATCCAAAAATTGCCGCTCCCAATTCAGCATAGAGAATAATAGCCTTTCCATGACGGAACACAAAGCCAGATATCCAACTTCTGATGGTGATAAATCCATCAAGCGCGAAAAGCCAAATGCTCCACTTCCACTAACCGCTTGATCTATCCTACTGTCCGATGGGAATATTGACCTAAGAATATACTCAGGTGAGAATATATTAAAATGCTTCAGAAAGGATTCTCTTGATATGCCCCGCCCGATAGAAGAACAAAATGTTTCAGAACTTTGGAGCATCTCTTTTTGTAGGAGTTTAGGTATCTGAAAGAAGATTAAAAGATCGAAACCAAAGTCAGGATTCAGCCAGAGACTACAAGGTATTGTTGACCTCGGAACTTATTTAAGGTATTGAATTGCACCTTGTATGTTATCGGATTTTGACCACCAGAATAGTGTACATCCTCTAGCTCACCAAAGGGAGGGGGCAAAAGAGAATTGGACCTCACTCCAAAGTAGAGATACGAGCTCCCTTCATTTCTTTCGAACAACTCTGGATGGTTGCAAACCTGAAATCAGAGACACATATAAATGACCATAAGCCACAGTCTTGCACATATGTCGTTTGAGAGATTTCGTGTTGAATAATTAATGACAAAGCAGGACAAGAGAGCTTGCCTTCCTAAGTTGAATGACGATATTCATTAAATTCAATAATTTCTTTTCGTTAAAATGCCCACGGTTGCTATCAAACAACTCAGCCAGAGAAATTTTGTTCTTAATAGCCTGATAAAAAGCTTGTTGTCGAGAACTGAGCTTGCAGTGTACTGTAACTTCCGTCTTTGTAGTTAGCTCAGAAACCACATCCTTTTTGACACGTCGGAGCATGAATGGCTTCAATATTGCATGCTGTTCGGGAGAAGAAACAAAATGTGAGTGACTAGATAGCTTTAAAAGGTAAAAAGATGCATACAGTGTACAAACTTGACGAATTCATGGAGAACCAGGAATCACTAACTGGAACTAACAGACCCTTCTAATCGCAAAGGAAGGAAACAAAATTGGCTGTCAGAAACAGAAAACAAGAACCCAGAAGCTTTCCGTTCATGACATATGCAGACACATCAGTGTCGTCTTTCTAAAATTCCCAAGAGGAATAAAAACGGAAGAGGAATAATATTATGAATCCGAAATGAGTGCATGAACCTATTCGAAGAGACTAGCAAACTAAAAATAAGAAGCAGACAGAAACTAAAAGATCTTGAGGTGTCGCCATACTAATGCTACAAACAGAAAGTGAAATCTCACCAGTCTGTTAAGCTGGTGCTCGTTTAAAGTCCCTCCATGTTCAGCATGATTCTCGATTCTGTTAATCGATATGGATCATGTATCAGAAACAAACTCCTAGATTGTTCACTACAAACTTTTACATGACCATCAAAACAGACAAATAGTACATACCCTTTAGAGAACCACTCGTTAAATTGTTCATGGTTGTCAAACAACATTGGCATGATGAAGTGCAGTAGTGCCCATAACTCTGCCATGTTATTCTGAATTGGAGTACCAGTCAGAAGCAATCTGTTCCGACAGTTGAAACCAAGAAGGGTCTTCCATCTTATACTGTCAATGAAAAAGGGAATATGAAATTTGCATGAGAATTTAGAGAAAAGTTACATTCTCATGCAAGGCAACGAAATCGCACAAGAATGACCATCAAACACTGATTCAACGTACAAAGGGGTAAAAAAAGAAGTTGAAGAGTAAAATAAGATTATCCTTGCGAGCACAAGCAACCCTGATTCAACTGACTCGAGGGAAAAGTACGAACCTGGTGGAACTTTTGATTGCTTGGGCCTCATCTAAAACCATATATTGCCACTTCACCCGGCGAAAATACTTTTCGTCGGTTACTAATAGCTGATAGCTGGTAATTAAAATATGAAAACCAGCATCCCTGAAAAAGAGGGGGAGTCAACAGAGAAATTTTAGAAAAGCGCAACGAAGATTTATTGATACCGAAGTCTGAGAGAGAATAAGCAGAGGTTGAACGCAAACCACAAGCTGTTACCTTCGGTACATACGCTTGGGATTGATATTCTTTCTTAAAATTGTCCGCTCTTGTAATCCTCCCCAGTATGGAAGAGTTTTCAAGTCAGGACAGAAGCGACTGATTTCATCCGCCCAATTGTTAAGAACAGAAGCAGGGGCAACGACCAGAAATGGACCCCAAATGTTTTTTTCCTGTGTGAGTGGATAAATGAGTTTTAACATAGCCAAACCACAACATCTAAAACGGACCAACATTTCGATTTACCTCAGCCAAATGTGCCAAGAACGCCATAGCTTGAATAGTCTTACCCAAGCCCATCTCATCAGCAAGAATGCCATTCAAACCCTATTACATATAAAAAAATAATCTTAGTATATACCCATTCGGAATGAGGATTCCTGAGGGGAAGAATTTCCTCTAAAGTCCACAAAAAATAATAAATGTAAATAGAAGTTGAAAGAACCTGCTCATAACAATTGACTAGCCACTGAAGGCCTTTCATTTGGTATTCTTTTAGAGTTCCTTTAAACAACTCGGGAGTCTGAACAGTTGATGTAACAGGCATTGTAGATCTGCAAGTAAAAAAGAACTAATTGGCTTGACATTCTAAAATCACGAAGGTAATGTGTGGCAATGACAAGAACACAAACTCACGGGTTATGCAAGTCTATATTGCCCGAGCCACAGACTGAGACATCATTTGATGGTCCTTCCATGTCAGAAGTTTGCCGTAGCTTCATATATTCAGTGTCAAATGCATCTGTTATTTTTTTCTGCTTAGACACTGCCTCTTGGGCAGCTATCAGGGCATCTTCTTTCATTTTAGCAACTTCAGGATCCTCCACCTCAGAATGTTCTGCTGCTGAAGGTTCTCGGAGCTCTACGTCAACCAGATTTTCATCTCCTAAGGATTCAGAAGGCTTTGAATCTTTGTCTCGCATGAAGTGACTGTAAAGTTCAGTCTGTTTAATAAGGAAATTGAGCCTATGTTGCTGCCTTTTTGCCTCTCGAAGCTCCTGTTCACGTTTTAGTGCCTCAGCAGCTTCCTTTTCCTGTTTTTTCCTCTCTTCGGCCTGTCAACATGGTCAAATTAATCCAAGTGTAACGTAGTTTTTCCTCTCTTCTGCCTGTCAGCAAATTCTAATCAGAATAGAAAATGTACCATCTGCTTGTCATATCGCTTCCAGAATAGCAGCATGTCTCTGGATATCTTCCTGGTACGAATTGGTGCACTCCTTGGCATTTTGTATGATCTAGCCACCTTAATTCTCACCTGTGAACTCAAAAGTAACAGCAGATGAGATGCAAGCGAATGGCAGTTTAGAAAAGCAAATATTTAAAAACTAAATGAGTAGGTAAAACTATAATATGAGAGCCAATTTCAATTACCTCTCTTTGGCAACCATCTGCAAACCTCTTGGCATCAATTGATTGTTTCCGATGAAAAGTAGTGAATATTCTATGGTGTTTTGGTATATCTCTTCTGACAATGTTGATCCATGCTTTTCTAATCTTGTCCCTTTCTGCCTTTTCAATGACTGCAGGATCATTCTTCACCTTCAGCTTCTTTGGTAGACTTCGTTTAACAATCTGAAGAAAGGATACATAAAAGAATGTCAGGAAAAAATAGATATCGTTGCCAGAGCCGTGAAGAATACAAAATTATGAGTCATTTGATAAAGTACTGTCACAGGATCCAAACCTCATATGTATCCCCCTTCTCCAGAACCTTGACGTAATGGACCTGTAAAACACCACCCTCTGACAGGATCGTCCGTGCGGTACTCCCAGCGGCTCCTTCTGGAATGGCAGAATTCATTGCAGCTTCTGACACCTTGAGGCTGAAGTTTGGGTTGGAGTTTGAAGCTGACAAGGCCTTCACTCTAGCTTGAAGAGATTCATATTGAGGTCGAGGCTCACCCATTCCATTACGGCTTCTTGCTCCAGACCTTTTATCGATAGCCGTCAGTTCTGCTAATGACCTCAAATCCAGAGCTCCTTTCAAGTAAAAATCCTCCACATGAATATCTGAAAAGCTTGGTAAGTTCAACGACGCCACCAGCTTGTCATAACTTGGGGGGATTTTGTAGATAACACCATCACCAATATCCAAATACGAAGGTTCATATGCTATTCTGCAAATGAAGAAAAAAAAAAATCGATGTGTCAATCCAGGAAAACCCCAACACACCATTAGATAACTAGAGTGATCACACAGGGTTACGCGTGATATGAACAACATACTTGGGGGTAATATCTGAATCACGATAGCTTCCTCGCCTTTGTGGGATCGCATCAGCTGCAAAATTTGACGAGGTGTCCATGTCATAGCATCTCCCATGGTGATCGTTCCCTAGCTTCCTACCTCTATAACTGCCCGCATTGCTCTTTCGCACCGGAACACCCATCAGATGTGTGGAGTTCCCTTGAGACTCCTTGGACCTACTTTTGAATCTTTGTACATGCTCCCCAAGCATTGATCGGTAGTGTTCCTCAGTAACATGTCGACTGTAAAGGTCATCATCATCATCCTCTGGATCATCATCAGCTTCTGTCCACCGCTTTCTCTTCTTGCTGCTCAAACTCATTCCCGGTTTAGAGCCATTGTCGTAGTTTGCCACTACCCCACCTTTCACCATAAACCAAACCATTTAGAGAATGATTGAACACACTCAAAAGTGTCACAAGTTGGTGGCAAAAGTAAAACTTGTACCTTGGTTGCTTCTAGTTTCGTCCTGGCTACTACTCCCATAGTAATCAAACTCATCTTCAGGTTTCGGAATTCGGAAGTTCATCAAAGGCTGCAAGAGTGAAAATTTTCAATTGGAGAAAAAAGACCCTCTATGAGAAATCATGAGGAAGCTATAGAATTGCAAAATTTTTCCAAATTCCAGAACAACTACATTCATCAGTATCGTCGTCACATGATCATCCAACATGTACAAACCATCAGTGATAATTTATAATCTATAAAGGAAAACGCAAAAAAAAAAATTGAGACCGTATAGACCTCGAGATCAAAGAGATTTGCGTAACGCGAGTCCTTGGGTTGCCTTCTTGAAGGATCCATGAGAGAAGGAATAGAGAGCCACGGCGTCAAAATTCGGAGAGTGAAACCCTTAAAAGCTGATTATGGGTATGGAAAACATTCGTTACGAGAAATAAGAAGAGCTCGTCTCGAGGAAGAACCCTAATCCTAGTACGATAGAGAAGAGCGAGAAAGGTAAAAGAAGAGATGCGCAGAATAGTTGGCTCAGCCGGTACGGGAAGAAGACGAGACTACTAACATGCGCCATTCCAATAAAGCTTCTTACCGTGCGCCCCTCCTCCACAAAAATCATTTAATTCCCTTTTTTTAATTTTTTTAATTTTGTGCTTTAAAACCCCTTCCATACCGGCCGGCCAGATAACGACGGAGACGAGGAAGATCCCCCGGGGAAAGAAAAATAAATGTCGTTTTGCAAACGAATAGTTTTATGGGGGGTAAAAAAGAATATATAAAAAGTATTTGGGCAAATTTAGAAATACTGAAAGTCTTATTCGAGATAACAACCCTAATTCCAATATACAAGATTTTCCTCTTGGTCTCCAAAAACTCCATCTCTGCCGTCTTTGAGCTCGGCGGGATATAACTTTTTTTTTTCCAGTGGAAAGCGACGGAGATAGAGAGATTTGCGACGATGGCGGAAACCAAAGAGAACTATGACCTGACCCCTCGAGTAGCTCCTAACCTGGACAGACACCTGGTGTTTCCTATACTCGAGTTCCTTCAAGAGCGTCAGCTTTATCCTGATGAGCAGATCCTCAAGTTCAAGATCGAGCTTTTGAACAAGACAAACATGGTCGATTACGCCATGGATATCCACAAGAGTCTCTACCACACCGAAGACGCTCCCCAAGGTAATCTTATTCACACACTCCTCTCCTGAAATGTCTGAAATTTTTCGTTTTTTTTTTTATCTTTGGTTTGGCATTGAATATTCGGGAAATTATGGTGCGGTAGATATGGTGGAAAGGAGAGCAGAGGTAGTGGCGAGGCTGAAATCTCTGGAGGAGGCGGCTGCGCCACTCGTGACATTCCTTTTGAACCCTAACGCGGTGCAGGAGCTTAGGGCTGACAAGCAGTACAATCTCCAGATGCTCAAGGAACGCTACCAGGTTGTGATTTGGCTGATTTCGTACTCACTGTTTGATTTTGCATTTGGTAATTTGAGGAACGCAAATCTTATAGTGTCCGTGTTTTTATCAGATTGGTCCAGACCAGATTGAGGCTTTGTACCAGTACGCCAAGTTTCAGTTTGAATGTGGGAACTACTCTGGTGCTGCTGATTATCTTTACCAGTACAGGACCCTTTGCTCCAACCTTGAGAGAAGTCTTAGCGCCTTGTGGGGAAAGCTCGCTTCTGAAATTTTGATGCAAAACTGGGACATTGCACTTGAAGAACTCAACCGTCTCAAAGAAATTATTGACTCAAAGGTCCGGTTTCCGAGTTTTTTTCCTAGCTTGTTGTAGCCTTTGGGATCTCCCCTTAGATGTGAGTATATATATATACTAACTTGCATTTGGTTTTTGCAGAGTTTTTCATCGCCGTTAAACCAGGTGCAGAACAGGATTTGGTTGATGCATTGGGGTCTCTATATCTTTTTCAACCATGACAACGGAAGGACACAAATCATTGATCTTTTTAACCAGGACAAGTAAGTTTAAACCTTTCTTTCATTTCCGTCTCTCTATTTCTTTACACACTTTTGAAGTAGAAATGCTACATTTTTAATTTAGGTTCTTATCTCTCTTTGTCTTCCTTGAATATCATTTCTATTGCTATATTACCTTTTCCGTTAGAGAAGCATGATCTGTAAATGATGCAGTTATGCATAGGCGGTGTTTGTGTGTGATTGGAGTCAGAGTTCGTCCTGTTGTGTTAACAAGTGATAGACTCTTCTCTTTCTTTTGTTAGGATTTTCCATTGTTGATGATGGGACCTTGCTGAAAATTAATTTGCTTAGTTTCCCATTCTGTGCTGTATCCTAATTTGATTTATTTCTTCAGGTATCTGAATGCCATACAAACTAGTGCTCCGCACTTGCTTCGTTACTTGGCAACTGCTTTCATTGTCAACAAAAGGAGAAGACCTCAACTGAAAGAATTCATTAAGGTCATTCAGCAAGAGCACTACTCCTACAAAGATCCTATTGTCGAGTTCCTGGCATGTGTGTTTGTTAATTACGACTTTGATGGGGCTCAAAAGAAGATGAAAGAGTGTGAAGAGGTAAAGCAGCTCACATTTGTATTGTGTTTTTGTGGATAATGGTGCAGAGCTGTACAATCGACACTCTTTGAGTTTTTAATATGATGTAGGTCATTGTGAATGATCCATTCCTTGGCAAGAGAGTTGAGGATGGAAACTTTTCAACTGTACCGCTGAGAGATGAGTTTCTTGAAAATGCCCGCCTGTTTATCTTTGAGACCTATTGCAGGATCCATCAGAGAATTGACATGGGGTAAGTTATCATATTCGGTTGACTGTATTCGTTTCCATATCTCTCGTGTTGTAGTTCGAACTGAACTTTTAAGCTAGGAGGAATTGTTGTAGTCTTGCTGTTTAACGTTGTACTCCTGGCCTTGTCAGGGTGCTTGCTGAGAAGCTAAATCTGAACTATGAGGAGGCAGAGAGATGGATTGTGAACCTGATCCGCACCTCAAAGCTTGATGCCAAGATTGATTCCGAGTCAGGAACTGTAATCATGGAGCCTACTCAGCCCAACGTGTAAGAATAATACAGCTTCAATCTAAACTTATCTTGATCGTGTATGTCTGAAAAAAACGTTCAATCCAAACTCTATCCCGACTTAATGCAGGCATGAGCAGTTGATAAACCACACCAAAGCCTTATCAGGACGGACTTACAAGTTAGTGACTCAGCTCTTGGAACACACACAAGGTCAAGCAGCTCGCTAATCAAGATTTTGCTACCGAATCTATCTTGACATTTTATCTTGATAATAGTCGAATTTGTTTGACTCAGATCTTTTTTTGTTTGTTTTTCTTTGGATTCTCCTTTTATTTGGGAAAAAGTCTACATGTTCATTTTCGCCGAGTTCTTTTTGAAATGTTGGATTCACACTTTGGATAATGGAACATTGAGGTTAATCCTTTCTTTAAGCCCTTTGAAGATTCTTGACTTGTGATTATGCCAACATAAGTTTCTGCCTTGCATATTTCTAATTGGCTAATATCAGTTAAGAGTAAGCAATCATAACATACGAAACGTCGTCATTAAAACTACGAAGCTGGAAAGAACAGGTCACAATTAAGAGTTGTCGCCTCTCAAAAGTATAAAATTACAGCAGGAATCCAACATATGAGAGTCATCAAAAGAGAGAAGATCTTCATGTGTTTTTAATCTAAACTATGTGAAGTTTCTTCAGTATGAAGGAGAAGGAGTAGCAGATGGTTTCAATTTCTTTGGAGGAGGGTTTCCTCCAGAGAGCACCACATACGAATAGAAACACAACATGGCAGCACTGCAATCAAAAAGGCATAAACATAAGATTACATGAAGCCACTAATCAGACTCTGTTGTTATACATCACAGAAGGATTTTTTTACCTGACGACAGCAAAGAGCCCGGCAGGAAACAGCTTCTTAGTCTGCATAAGTACAACATTAAGCAGATGAAGTTAAGCATAAATAATCAATCAGCAAGATTACACAGATGATGAATAGTAATACCATTGAATAAGCTGTGAAGTTCTTCCAGAAGACGACAGCTGAAAGCACTGCAATTTCAGGGTTTCGGAGAATGAGTAAGCACAAAAGCTTTCACAGATAACAAAAACATTTTGACAAGACATTCATGTGCACATAATGGTCTTGGTCCAGAGATAACCAGAATTCATAATGAATTACAAAACATCCATTGACTGTTCTTGTAGAAAAATGAAGAATACCTGCTTGACCTAGTATATAAGGGAAACTAGATTTTCCCTGTCGCCAAATCTTTAAGCTAAGTGTACTAAGAGCTAGAAGGCCACCACCATAGAGGACCCCAGTAGTTAAACTTGCAAGATTTCGTGAAAACGCAAATCCAAGAAGCCCTCCACTCATAACGAGACCACCTGACAAAAAGTGTCATCCATGTATCAGAATCAACACAAACGAGTTACTCTGAATGAAGGACTCGATTGAAAGAACTTGAACAGGCAGCACTAAGATTTGAAATCAAGCTTCGAGAGTCGCAAAGTACCATAAGGAATGCCAAAGCAGAAGTCATGGATCTTCGCTGCTCTTTTTGGTTCCTCTATTGGCTCTGTGGTAATCTCTTTATCTGTAGCAGTTTCATACGGTTTCGATGTTTTCTCAACAAAAGGTTTCGAAACCTCAGCTGCATAGCTTAGAGAAGCTGGCGTCTCTGAGCTATTCCCATCAACGCCTCTAACTACAAAAGACTGCAACATTTAAAAGCGATTAGCCACTACTAACACTATCAGTCCTATACAATCTAGAGGAGAGCTCAACAAAAGATTCTGAGGCAACCAAAGAACTAGATACGATTGTTTCAAGCTATCCAATACTTTGTAAGAAAAAACAAAAGGGAAAGACTTTTTCACAGAAGGTGGAATCATACAACACTCCCTAACATCTGAGCCAGAGAAGGAGGAATCTATTCAAGTCCCAAGCAGAATCATTTCTAGTAAAAACAAAGCTAATGTCGAGTAACGACTAAATCAAGCTCATAATCAGGAAAATTTAACAAATACACAGTATTGGGCTTTATCGTAACTAAATCGAAATGAAGAAATCTATGTCTTTTTCAGGCGATGCTCGAGCACTTTACCTCGGGACGAAACCTAGGGAATTGGAACGATCGGCTCTGGAAGTGAAATTGGCGATTGGTGGAAGAGAAGCAAGCAAGCTGAGAGATTTTCGATGCCATCGTCGAGATCTGAGAATGAAAAAAAATTGAAGTGAAAAGTCAAATGGGGAGAGAACCAGAATGGATTTTGGGGGAATGGAGCGTGCTCAGCACGAGAGGAAGTGGTTGATTTTTGATTCAGCCGGCGTTTTGGACTTTCTTGTGCTGTAAAGAAGACAATGATGATCGGACAATCCTGACCGTCCTTGAAAATCGATCGGTCAAAATGTGGCCATTGATTGTCGTTTGGATTTATTTTGTTAGAATTTATTTGGCTTAAGCAAACATACAAAATGTATCAAACTAAATATTTAATACGTTATTATCCTTTACTTTAGTTAAGTTTTCTATCCTTTACTTTAGTTAAGTTTTCTAAGGAAAAAAAAAAAACAGTTTTAGTAGAAGATCAGGATGGTAAAAAGAAAAATTGTAAATGATTTCGACAAATTTAGTCGATCTTCATAGTTCTAAAATTCTCCTAAACAATTACTTTTTTTTTTTTGTAATGGTGTTTTTTTTTCTGTTCTCAAACCTATGAAATAACAACATTAACTTCGATTTTCTCAAAACCAAAGCCATAATTTTGCAGTTAAAAAATCAAAATCAAAAAACTTAATTTAAATGAAATAAAAAATCCATCGGCGATGGGCTAACTGGAGCAGTGCTTCAGCCCAATTGAAAACCCGGGAATTAGTTGGGCCTTGGTTTGGAATATTTGGTTTAGACTTGTTATTAATAATCAAATAAACTTAGATGTAAAACTAAATTAATTAGCATAACCCATAAAATGGTAGTTGGTTTACAAAGGTATTGGCGGGACCAAAAGTTGAAAGACTTTTCCTCACATTTTAATGTTCAACAAACAGTACGCGGTACGGCACGGCCCAAAACTCACGACAGCAAAAGTCTTTTCTTTCCTGTGCATCCTCATTAAGCCATGGGCTGTGCTGTGACGACCAGGAAACAATAACCACAACGACCAACAAAATATTCATAATACAGTTTTTTATATACCCAAAACAATGTAATCTGTTTAAAAATGTCTCTGTCTTTAGTCCAAGTCAACATAAATTTGAAAAAAAATTACACTTTTATGCCATGTCGCTCTGTTCGATTAACCCAATTCATGATGGTTCGATGGTTGGAAAACTTAACTTAGTTACAGCATTTTTGGGACTGATTCAGCACAAATTTTCAATTCGGTTTTTTTATCTTTTATCAGACGTCCACAGCTATTCCCTACTTGATGTTATCTAAGGCCTAATAAATTTAACTCGTTGCTTGACTTGCAAGTTGCACCAAATGTCGTCGCTCTCTCGCAGTCTCTTACGTATTAGATACTATATTTGACCTGCCGTATTTGCTACCCTAAATTTTACTATATATATATGTGTGTCTGTACAACATCAACGTAAAACCAATAAACGATATCGACTTCCATAATTATCACTAGCTCAGATATCTTCCCAAGCTAGCCATGTATATCCGTTTCTTGGTGTCTTTAACCCTTCTTCTCGGTCTATTCTTCGTCAATTCAAATACCGCAGGTCATCAATCTCTCTTAGATATATTTTATATTCAATAAACGTTAAATTTTAGTAGCATTTTCTGTGATGAAATATATAGGTTTTTGAAATAGATCACTATGTATGCGATATGTGATAAGGTATTAATATGTTGGATTATTATTATATCACAGCTGGACAGCAAGTCGGCGTTTGCTACGGAAGATTCGGCGACAATCTCCCCTCGCCGGCAGAAACCATTGAGCTCTTCAAACAGAAAAACATCCGGCGAATTAGGCTTTACAGCCCGGACCACGACGTTCTTGCCGCCTTACGTGGCTCCGACATCGAAGTAATGTTGGGCCTTCCTAACCGGGACCTAGAACAAGTGGCCTCGAGCCAATCCAAAGCCGACATGTGGGTCCAGAACAACGTCAGCAACTACGTGGATGACGTTAAGTTCCGTTACGTATCTGTTGGAAACGAAGTGAAGATCTTTGACTCTTACTCACAGTTTCTAGTCCCGGCCATGGAAAACATCGACCGGGCGGTTTCAAGAGCCGGACTCGGCGATCGTATTAAGGTATTGGATATATATATCTTAGATGTATCTGTTGGGTTTGCGTTTACATATTTTAGATGTTTTTCTTTTTGCAAATAAAAACCTAATGCAAATAGAAACCTAAACTTTTATAGCATTTAAGCTTACATTTTGCAAAACTATCTAATAAAAATGGAAATTTAAGAACGTACGCAAGTGCGTTTGAAACAATGGAACCCCACATTATATTTTATTTTAAACAGAATTATATTGCCTAACATGTATCTTTATTGCGTTTAAAATGCTTGATTCTTAATAGGTATCAACGGCGGTAGATATGGCAGTGCTCGGAGAGTCTTATCCACCTTCGAAAGGTTCGTTCAAAGGAGAAGTAATGGTGCTCATGGAACCAATCATACGTTTCTTGGTGAACAAGAAATCTCCTTTACACTTAAACCTCTACACTTACTTCAGCTACGCGGGCAATTCTGACACGATCGGACTCGATTACGCTCTCTTCACGGCTTCTCCAGGAACAGTCTCGGACCCTCCAAGATCGTACCAGAACCTATTCGATGCGATGCTTGATGCGGTGCACTCTGCTCTAGAGAGATCCGGTGGTGAATCATTGGAAGTCGTTGTGTCGGAGACTGGATGGCCAACGGAAGGAGGAACCTCGACGAATTTGGAGAATGCGAGGATTTATAACAATAATTTGATTAACCATGTGAAGAATGGGACACCAAAGAGACCAGGGAAAGAAATCGAGACTTATATATTTGCGATGTATGATGAAAATGTGAAGCAGACTCCTCCTGATGTTGAGAAGTTTTGGGGATTGTTTCATCCGAACAAGCAGCCTAAGTACGAGGTTAACTTTGGTTGAGCCAAAGTGCCAAATTAACGTGCCATCGAAGGGAATGCTATATTTTATATTTTACTTTACATTTTATATTGATGGAATAATGGGGCTTCTATTACGTACGTCGATTTTGTTATTTATGATCAAACTGATCATCGTAAGAAAGTGTTATAGCGTTCTTACGTATGAGATCTTTTTTCAACAATTAGTTAATTTCGGTAAAATAAATATTAATATACATGACGCGAAATAAGACATTTTTAAGTTCGTTGAGGAATGACAATCGAAAAAGACTAGTTTAATCCGGCCCATTTATATTTGTAGAAAATTTAAGTATTCTTGCATAAAAAATCTAGCTAGGGGTCTCTAATGGACAGTTTTGTTTTAAATACGTGAAGCTTGATTTTCACTTGTGATGATGATAGCAAAAAATAAATCAATATTTGGACCACTAACAAATTACATGTAATCTGAACCTTGTATAACTTGTAGGGTTGTAAATGCGGATACATTTTCAATTTAGCGATAAATTTTCCAGTCATCAGTTCTGTAACCAAATTATCTTTTTTATATCACTAACAAGATGACCTTTTTAGAAATGTTATATACAAAAGTATAAATTAGTTAAATTTTTCTTTTAACGTCAAAATCAGTTTATTTATATAGAGCTGATGTAATCAGATCTTGGAGACATTTATTATCCATTTCGGAAGATATATAGTTCCGGAAAAGAATATATTGTTTGAAGGACCAAACTGAGCTAACTCATGAGCCACCTTATTACATTCACGATGGAAATAGTTAAATATTTTTGAAAATTTCGCTATGAAATACGAATTTAAAATTTTTATTTTTTTTTGTTGCTCAAAATGTTTTTTTAAATATATGAGAGAAGTAAATCCGTTGCTGTAGATCATTTTTGTTAGCTAAATTATAATGAGAAATGTGGTATTTTTACTTCTTTTTTTTCTTTAGAATGAGAAATGTAGACAACGTGATTTAAGATGCCATTGATGCTTCTAAGAACCAATCTAACCATACTTGATGATGGATTGTTGATCTAAAGTCTTACAACGTAAAGATACAATTTAGTTAACATTCCATAATTAACGGCTTATACTACCACAATTTAATTTGATGACAACAAAAAAAATCAAAAAAATCAACTTGATTTGACTATTTTATAAACGTGTATTTAGTTTCGGGCGATTCATCCCGTTTAACACTCCAGTCTAGCTAGTCCGACCGTGTTGAAAGCTACTTGTGTAGAAAAATCATACTCTTTAAGAATAGTATTCAAAACATAGAACGAGAGAGGTACGTGTTTGCGAATGCCGTAATGGTGATTCATTCGTTGACGGACTTGGATCTCAGGCTCGCTCTATAAATTAGGCGCAAAATGGAACGATTTAAACATATAAAGTTTCAAAGTGTAATATAAAAATCCATATATGAATATGACTGAATCAAGGATCTTAGCCACATCACCAATGTTACTGATTCTTCTCAGCCTTGTAATAGCTTCCTTATTCGACACTACAGGTTCAATCATATTTTAAGCTTTTGTAACATCCACTATGATCATCTCTTTGACCCTATCGATTATTAATCTACGTAATTTTGATTCAATTTTGTTACTAATGATCATCAGCTGGACAAATCGGAGTATGCTACGGGATGCTTGGAGATCCCAAGCCAAATCCATCGGACGTTGTGGCTCTTTACAAGCAGCGGAACATCCAGCGGATGCGGATTTACGATCCCAACCCAGAGACTCTCACCGCTCTCCGCGGCTCCAACATCGAGCTCATCCTCGACGTTCCCAAATCGGACCTCCAACGTATTGCCTCCAGCCAAACGGAAGCCGACAAGTGGGTCAACGACAACGTGAAGAGCTACGACGGTGTCAGATTCCGGTACATCAACGTCGGAAACGAGGTGAAACCCTCGGAGCAAGCTGCGAGGTTCCTCTTCCCGGCGATGCAGAACATACAGAAAGCCGTTTCTGAAGCAGGCCTCGGGATCAAAATATCGACGTCTATAGAAATGGGAGCCACCGTGGACACGTATCCTCCGTCGCGCGGAAGATTCAAGGACGAGTATATTAACTTGCTCCAACCTGTTATAGATTTCTTGGTAAGCAAGCAATCTCCTCTGCTTGTGAATATCTACCCTTATTTCAGCTACATGTTAGACACGAACATCCCTCTAGACTACGCTCTGTTGAAACCAAATGCCCCTGTGGTCTCTGACGGCCCGTACTCTTACAAAAACCTCTTCGACGCCAACCTCGACTCGGTTTACGCGGCGTTGGAGAAATCCGGTGGCGGATCGTTGGAGATCGTGGTGTCGGAGAGTGGTTGGCCCACGGAGGGAGGAACCGGGACGAGTGTAGAGAATGCAAAGACATATGTTAACAATCTGATACAACATGTGAAGAATGGAACTCCGAGAAAGCCAGGGAAAGCTATAGAGACTTATATATTCGCTATGTTCGATGAGAATCAGAAGACTCCTGATTATGAGAAGTTCTGGGGGATGTTTCTTCCTAATCAACAGCCTAAGTATGATGTTAATTTCGACTAATGTCTTTAAAGAGACTTCTTGAAGAAGCAAGGGCTAGTGATGCGGTAAATGGTAATTTGTTGTCTATTATATATATATTTTTAGGGCTTTTTCTGTAAGAGTATTATTATTAATATGAAAATAAAAAGTGGGAGATATTGTTGTAATAATAAGGAATGAGCCTTGAGTATGTTTTACTCCATCACATCGGTTTCGATAATATAATGAGAGTTGTTTAAAAATCTACGATATTCTGTACAAACAGTATATGATATATATTGTTGGTTCATAGTAAAAAAAATAAAAATTACATGTAGATGAAACATTTAGACGTAAGCCTGATGAAATATTTAGACGTAAGCATAAGCAAAGCCATCATCAACACGGCGCCTATTTTTGTCGTCCAAAACTGAAATCGACCCCAAGAAGAAATTTCTCTGGCTACTAGGATCCCTACAAAATGCATCTATTGAACAGTCTGTTATGTTTTACAAAAGACACGATACGTCTCTTCATGATTTTGTCTATAGTACCGAGCTCAATCTTAGCCTGTGGTCTGAGTATTTTATACTAAGATTTATAAGTTTTGTTTTTCATAATCTTATGTACTGATTTTCTAGGCTGCTATGAGGTACCTACGATCTAATATTAATGTATATCACACATGCATAAGAATATTCATTGATAGGACGACGTCAACATGTAAAGGGAATATTCGCTTAAACTCGTGGGTATCCACTACTCTTTGATTGGCTAATCCATTATACTAAGGTGGTGCAGGGTTCGATTAATTTTTTTTTAAAATAATAACATTAGTTTATTTATAGATAAAAAATTAGATTTTATAATTATTTAAATCAAAATTAATATATTTGAAAAATAAAATTTTTATGAGATATATTGTTTTTTGACCACATAAATCAATAATTTTCATAGATTTAGAGTTTTACTTGTGACCGCATAAATCAATTAGGTTTATAGAAAATATTAGTAGGTTAAACGATCAAATTAAAATTAGTTTAAGAAAATAATTAGAATTGATTTTTTGTGATTTATGCTAATTATATTTTTTTAGTAAACTGAATATTATTATGATATAAACTCGAATTTGAAAATTTAGATTTAAATAAAACGAAAATTAAAAATTATATTATATTAATTTGTTAATTTCATTAAGGGTAAATAAAGTCTTTTCATATAAGAGGCAAATAGTAATCAACCATCATAACTCTCAATTATAACCTAATTTGCTTGCTAATTAATAATATGATGATTTTCCACAATATTATAAATTTTTATTAGTATTAATGTCTAATTCCCCCACTAGAAGAAAATACATCATATAAAAACTGAGTCACAAATTTGTAACACATTTGCAATTGCAACGTATATTGACGTTAACATTTAATTAATCTTCGAAGTGAATCGGTGAATCAAATAGTCTCAAACAAACTACAAATTGCATACAGCTGGAATATGATATTCTAGGGGATTTCTAATTTCAGCCGTAGTCTAAAGACAATAGCTAATTGCATCAAAATCCAGCCGGGGTGCAGTTTTGTTTTGTTGTATATATGTTAAATCCGTCAAAAATATGTGTTAGAAAATCCGATTGATTATACACATTGTAATTGTTACGAGGTTTACCTTAAAGTAGATAAATGTCGTATTTCTTCCTTTTTTTTTTCTTTAAAATGATTCTCAGATAGAAAAACTTAATCTGGATATTATAATATATTGTCTAGTAACGTGATTTAGGGGTGCCATTGATGATTTCAAGAACTATTACTAACGAAAGTCATCTAACCATAATTGATGATGTCTAGTTTCTCTAATGAGTAATGACCTAAGGATACAATTCAATGGTCCACGATCGACGTGTGATTAACGGCTTAGTACCATGATTCCAAAATGCAAGTCCTCGTCGCATTTAATCCTAGACTTTGTATAGTGGGGGTGTGTATAGGAATCATTTATTTAGGAAATTTTATATATTCGCTACAGTCTAAACATAAGTCATTACTGCATTTGGTCTAGAAAATTTCACAAATCTGGTGATTATAAAATTAATACTATAATTTATATGGATCATATAGTTTGAACCGGCTTTTTAAATAAAAATATGTTATATTCATTGGAAATTTTAATATTTGAGATTGAGTATATTATTTTGAGGCGGTGGAGGATTCGTCCCATTAATCAGTAAGATTTTAGTGTCTAAGCTAGTTAGGCCCTATTGAAAACTACATGCAGTTCCGGTTCAAATTCATATCGCAATAATGGAAGGCGTCTACGATTAATATAAAAATAGAGAAATTAATTAGAAAAAGATCGAAAAATACATTACAAACTAATTATATGCATTTTAAAAAAAACCAAAATCTACCAAATGAAAAATATACAAAAATTCCCTAAGAAAATTAATTATTTAGCAAAAGACCAAAAAAAAAAAATCAAATTTAAAGGGTCCAAACAAATTTTGCCTTAGGGGCCATAGTAATATTCTTGAGCCTACTTGCATGTTTAGAAAACTCAGACTTCAGACTTTTCAAAGCGTATGTATTTAGTGAGATATTCATGAACGGTGATTTAATGTATAACATTCCAAAACTAGTGATGATATGACGCAATGACTTTTGGTTCATTTCATTGACTTAAACCACCGATTCACTCTATAAATTAAGCCCAAAATGCTACGATTTTAAGCATAAAAAAAACCCCATAGTTTCACATTATTTGTAAGTGGTATTTCATAAAAGATGCCTAATGAATCGAGTTTCTTAGCCTCACTACCACTGTTACTGCTTCTTCTCAGCTTCCTAATGGCTTCCTTCTTCGACACGGCAGGTTAAATATCTTTTTTTTTAACCTATATTGGTAATATAATATTATTCGTTTTTGGGACTCGATTAAATTCTATTATCATATCTGATGATTCCTAATTTGAAAATGAAGCTGGGCAAACCGGAATTTGCTACGGGATGGTTGGAAACAACCTGCCACGTCCGTCAGACGTGATAAGGCTTTTCCAGCAGCGGAACATACGGCGGATGCGGATTTACGGCCCCAACCGAGAGACTCTCGACGCTCTCCGAAACTCCAACATCGAGCTTTTGCTCGATGTTCCCAACTCGGATCTCGAGCGTGTCGCCGGCAGCCAAGGGGGAGCCGACGCGTGGGTCCGCGACAACGTCCGAAACTACAACAATGTCAGGTTCCGCTACATTTCGGTCGGAAATGAGGTGCAACCCTCGGATCCACGGTCGAGGTTAGTCCTCCCTGCGATGCAGAACATCGAGAGAGCGGTTTCAGGCCTCGGGATCAAGGTCTCCACAGCTATCGACACCAGAGGCATTAGCGGGTTTCCTCCCTCGAGCGGGACGTTCACGCCGGAGTTTAGGAACTTTATCGCGCCGGTGATAGCTTTCTTGGTGAGCAAGCAATCTCCTCTGCTCGTGAATATCTACCCTTACTTCAGCTACATCAACAACATGAGAGACATCCGTTTAGAGTACGCTCTGTTCACACCGTCTACTGTAGTCAATGATGGGCCAAACACGTACCGAAACCTCTTCCACGCACTCCTAGACACTGTTTACGCGGCATTGGAGAAAACGGGAGGCGGATCGGTGGAGATCGTGGTGTCGGAGAGCGGTTGGCCGACCGCGGGAGGAACCGCGACGACTACAGATAATGCGAGGACTTATGTGAACAACTTAATACAAACCGTGAAGAGTGGGTCTCCGAGAAGGCCAGGGAAAGCTATAGAGACTTATATATTCGCTATGTTCAATGAGAATCAGAAGGATCCTGAGTTCGAGAAGTACTTTGGACTGTTTCTTCCTAATCAACAGCCTAAGTACGAAGTCAATTTCAACTAAAAGATATCTTTAAAGACACTTCACGATAGTGATATGAGATAAGTGGAATTTAAAGGTATTGTATTGTAAACTGTAAATGTTTCCAAAGAGTGGGAACTTGTTGTAATAATAAGGAACAATTAATGAGTCACAATAAAATAATATAAAGAACTTGTTTTAATACATATACAGGTAGTGTAGAGTGGTTGTCCCACGGAGACGAGTGTAGAGAATGCGAGGACTTATGTTAACAATTTAATACAACATTTGAAGAACGGAACTCCGAGAAAGCCATGGAAAGCTATTAGCTATAAAGACTTATATATTCGCTATGTTAGATGAGGATCACAAGACTCGATCCTGAGTTTGGGAAGTTATATGAGGGGGAAGTTTCTTCCTAATCAACAGCCTAAGTAAGATGTTAATTTCGACTAGTATAGATCCAAGAGACTTCGACTTCTTGAAAAAGCAAGAGTGATGCGATAAATAGTAGTCTCTCCGTATTTTATTAGATGATGCTTTTTTTAATAAAAAAATAAGTGATTTTTTATCTATGCAAAAACACAAAAATTTTGACTTTTTTTTGCTCTTATATTTTTGAGATAATTACTCACAAACCCCACAAGTTTTCCTTCAACATCTTTCAATGGCTCAAACCAAGATCCTTCTTCTCTCACCTCAATCATTCCCTGGATATTCATCACAACAGTGAGAAGAAACCGAAACTGATGAATGTTTCAGAATTTCTTAAAGGCTCAAAACCATAATCACTCCCTTAATCTAATCAGCTCCTAGAGATGAGATGTCACACATCATTATTTAAGTACAAACGAACTATAGTAAAAGACTATTTAAAATGTGACCTAATGAAAAGTGAAAACAACTGGGTGTTGTGGTGAGGAAAGTCGGGCCTTATATTAATCGATTTTGTTCAGATAAAAGGATGCTTTTTTAAATAGTTTTGTTGCATTTAGGTTTATAGAGGTGTTTGTACATGCACTTAGAAAGCGTAAGAGGTTTGCATTAATCAACTCGTATATTTACAGTATTTTGAGTTACGCAAAGCATAACAATATGATCAAAGGAAAAAAGAAGTCAAAAGTAATAATTAATTAATATCAGCTTAAAATGTGTAATGGTCAATTAGTTCTTATTTTCTAAGTGGCCCTGTGCTTGATTTAGATGCTTTGAAGTTAATATTAATATAAAAAAAAAGGTTTTCTATTTACAAAAAAAGATGATGTTGATTGCGAAATATTAATCTTCATCTACTTAGAGAAAAACTAGACGAGAAAGGTTACATGCATGTTTCTGTAGATAGAAAAGCGAGAATGCAAGAGGAGTCATATATTGTCACAAAGTATTAAATCCGGGTGGAACTTGTATATCGTTTATGCTTTTTAGAGAAACCACAAGTGTATCGAGTTTGCCACATTTTCCTAGATTGTTTTTTACGAACGCGTCAACAACAGTGAAATATTGTAACACAACCGCCATGTTCTTACATGACAATCCACTATAAATAAGGGTATGCACTAAGCAATAAAATAGAACAAACACTAAAACCCAACGGTTCTCTAAAAAAATCCCTCACAAGCTAAAACTTCTCTAAAAAATGGCGATTAGTAGTAACAGTGAAGACAAGGCGCGTAAGAAAGTAAAGAGTCTCCTGAAAAAGGCCTACAGGGCCGTTCTCTATGCCCACGATGCAGAAAATTCGGTAGAATTTTATTACGAGTCAATTATGTTATGTTTGTGTGACGTGGGTCTTATTTTTTAAGTGTTTTTTTTTTGTGTGGGATAAAATGTTAGTTTGATACTTTGATGTTTATGCTTTTTAGAGAAACCACAAGTGTATCGAGTTTGCAACATTTTCCTAGTTGGTTTTTTCACTACAATTACACACAGGCCCGTCTCTCCTCTCCTATAAAGCAAGTAAAGCACAAGCTTCAGGCCACAAAATATATTATATTTTTAGGAGTTATATTTAATAAAATGTTAGTTTAGTAAATTAGTTAACCAATTTGATTTATGGTTAACATTCCCACTTTTCTCATTTATCTCTACTTTTGTAATAAAATTCGACGTCGTTACCTAATAAATGAGATGTTTTAGTTTTTATAAACCATGATATTTTTTAATCATAAATTATGTTTTTCCATGTCATCTTTTTTTTTATATATAATGAAAGTAAAAGTCAATATATGTATATATTTTGCTTATATATTTTGTTATATTTTTACTTAGATTTTGTTATATTTTTACTTAGATTTTGTAAACAAATTTAAGTATTTATATATATTTTACAAAAGAAGAATGCGAGGTTTTCTCTTTTAAAACAAACACTTGGAGGAACGTTGTTATTCCTCTTTATTACATGGCTGATAGTGAAAGATTCTAGCTCTAACATACTCGTTAAGTAACAATGTTAAAACTTGCCTAAGTAGAGTTTAATAGTCTCCTATGTATGGAAGAATTAATAATAAATATTGACACTACAGAAAAACTCGCAAACAATTGAAAATTTAGATGATTCGCTAAAATGTAAATGTAGTTTTTGTCATGTTCGTTTCTCTGCGACAAGATTTTTGTTTAAAACTCCTCTTTAAACGATACAGAACCTCTCTTTGAAAGTGAACTAAAACAACGTTGCTAATAGACTGGACATGGAACAAAATTAAAGTTGTGTAAGTGTGATTTGTGAAGGTAGAGAGAGAATGAGAGAAACCGACGAAACGTTTACAGATTCTTCATTTGTACCAACCAGCAAGAAAATGCCGAAGCAGGAAACAGAAGGCGCAAGCTAGTGCCTGCAAAAGAAGAAACACGTAAACCAAATTTGTTGCATCTCTCTCACAAAAGTCACACACAACAACAAAGCCAACTTATGATTTACCAATTTTACCTGGAAAACAAGAAGATGAATACAAAGAGACTTTTCCGATTTCCTACCGAAAATCCTCAAGTAGACGTTGACGAGCGTCCCATCTTTTGTTCCCGTTAACAATCCCGTAGCAGGATCAAACCTGGTTCAGAAGAGAAAGGAAGAGTCATGTGTTGTCCGGCTTTGCTTTTAACATGACAATAAAAACTAGCTTACTTGGGGAGACGATGCCGCGGACACTTCACAATGCCAGCAAGCTGAAGAGTTACACAATAGCAAGTTAGATGCTTTGATAAGAAAACTGAAATAGTAAAAGAAAGTGTGATAGGGAGAAAGGCGATCAAACCTGCGGAAGCGACAGTAGAAAGTTCAACACTTGAGGAAGAAAAAAGATTAGGAGGGTTTCACTGCAAAAGTGAAGTTCTCGAAGATGGAGTTAGTTAGTTGCAGGCTTCACACTTTGGTTAAAATGCAAGAACGCAAATGATTGGAAATAAACCTGAAGTGACCCAGAATGCCAGCAACAGCCATAGTCATTCCTGCGAAGACTGTGTAAGTGTCTCCAACAAAAACTGAAGAAGGGTACCTTACAACACACAAAAGAAGAGGACATGAATGTGGTTAGAGAAAGCATTAGCTTCTTCTATTTTGTATCTGAGAGACTTAAGAGAAAAGACTTGAAAGTATTTACCAATTGTAAGCAAGCATTGCCAAGGATGTTGCCATCAATGGCTGAGTAAGGTATATAGAGAAGGCATGAGCTTGACGAAACTCAGTATCAACAGATGCTCCGATTTGCATGACGTTGTGTATCAGGATCTACAAGTAACTGAGACGCATCATATATTTACTTAAGAGAAACCAACGGGATGAAAAAACAAGGGACAAAAGAGACGCATTTTGAGAACTTACAGCAGCTGCAATAACTACTGTTTGGCCGATCTCAAGGCCGTTCAGACCAGCGTGAATGTTTATAGAATTCGTGCAGAAGACAGCAAGTAGCGCCATATACAACTTATATATCCGTCCTGCCACAAATGAAAAATTACAATTAAGGAAATCCATTTGAAAACTAGTTGCTGCACGATAATGTACAAGAAGAATTTGTACCTAGATCAAGTATTTCCAAGCCAACATAAGAAACCAGAGGTTTCGGTATAACGATAGTTGTATGTCCAGCATAAGCCATCAGCAGTGGAAGGGTTGCAAAAGATGGCAGGAGAAGTTTCCTACACATATTGACAAGGAATTAACCTGCGAACAAAGTTCACGCATGAAATTAATTCAAACAAATATAAGAAGTGCACCTACACTCTCCAAGGCACATCAAGGACGTCATCTACGAATCCAAGCAAAATCATGAAGCAAATAGATGCCAATGCTGCATTGTACTCCACAAGCCACTGCACAGAGTCATGTATTCAAAGCAAAATAAATGAGCCAAGAGCTACTACCAAGTTCATAGTTTTACAAAACAGCAGAGCTCATTTTAAGATCTCAAGGTAGTAGCAGCTTGTGAGATCAGCACACTTACCAACGAATCTTCCGTGAAATTAAAGAACTGAAATATTATCGCCACTATCAAGAAGACAATACCAACAACAATTCCCAATGACTCAGGCCTACAAAGAAATAAGATGAACAAAAAGGTGAGAAAATCAGAAACACTAAAACAAGTAGAAGTCAGATGTCTCAGAAGATCAATTCAAGCATAAACTTGGATAGAATATCGGTTAATAAATGAGGCAACTCATGGTTTCCTTCCCGTAAAAATCAAATCTAAGGAAACATCCATTTCAAGAAAAACGATGAACACTAATCCTAAATTGAAACCTAAACAACTAAATGAGACAAATCGAAAAAAAAGAAGGAAAAACTTACACTTTAACTTCTCCTTGAGGAGTGCCTCTTTTGTTGATATCAAAACCAAACATGTTACGCCTCAAAACATATCGAGCAGCCACAGGAATCAATTTGAGTGTGACGAAGAACCCCACCAAGCTAAGCCCAGCGTTAATGAGGATCGGACGCTTGAGCTCATCATCAACATTGTAATGGAAACAGAGAAGGTAGAGGTAGAGCGAACACAGAAGCGAAGAGATCACGAGAATCACGCCCAATTTCGGCGGTGCGAGACGGAAATCTTCTCCGGAAGCACTGGTCTTATGCTCCGTCGCCGCCGGTGCCGATTTTTCCGGATTAGCCACTGAAGAAGTTCTCTTACGAGCAGTCATGGCGGATCCGTTGGCTTCCTTCGGTTCCCCGCCTCTGGATTTTGCTTTCTCGACTTTTCGGTAAAGCTCAAAGTCTGTAGCATCATTCAAAGCACCGCACGCGTCACAAGCCCAACTTGAACTTTTCCAATACGACACCGTATTTAGAGTATAATAAAAAAATTCATTTTGGCCCCAAGAGAAATCAGAGTTGTCAAATAATCCCCGAAAGTTTAGCTTATGTCAACAAGTTACTCGCATCTTTTATCTTTATCACAATGTGTTCTTGTCAGTGACTGCTACTAATTTTACATAAGTCTCTTCTTAAAGGTTGTTGTTCCTGCTCTCACCCTCAAACACAGATGAAACTTTACTTTCTTCTTCTTTTTTCCCCGAGATGAAACTTTACTTCCTAAAAAGTTATCAGTCGACGAATCTGTAAACTTTGGGATTCAAACATCAGCTGAGTAACTCAAGAACCCTGAAGGCACCAAACTGTAATAAAATCATGATCAATTTGTATTTGAAGTATAATAGAATCAACATGATCAAGTATTCTCTACATAAAATAGTACCCTGCTGATATTCTAATCCCTATTCATCTGTAGAACCATCTGTGTGTATAACCTAACCGATAAAAACTTTCCGAAATGTACACCAGAGCTCATGTTCAAAAACTCTGAAATCATTCTAAAAAATTCCATTCTTTGTATAGCAAAAAAACACTTTATTCAGATAATGGTTCCAAGCCTGGAGGCGATTGCGGTGGTATTGCTGATTCTTGAGATTCACTGTCAAGATCAAGATGGAGTTCCAAAACCCTCCTCCTACCAGCTGCTTGAGATGCTTCTCGAGTAATGCTTAATGTGTTTGAAGAGCTGTTCCCATCTTTTGAGAGAGACATGTGAGCTGATGTTACCACGGAGCTGAAAACACCTGCCTCTCTCAACTCTTGGATTATAACCTGTAAAAGATGATACTTTTGTGGAAAACCAAGCATATGATCGGATCATGTCAAACAAAGAAGACGGTTTTGGTTTGTGGTAACTAACCATTGGAGCATAAATTCGGGTCAGAATCCCCTTCCTAAGGAGTTTCAACTTCAATTGTTTATCCGTCCACACAACTCGTTCTCTGTACCTGTATTGGCGGAGGAGCTTGTTAGAATGCAGCAGAGGAAAATGGGATGAAGAAAGAGTGTAGTAGTGATTATATTTGAGTCGACATTGATACCATTGAAGCATTTCCTCTGAACTCGCGGTTGAAGCAATGATAAATGCCTGAACAAAAAGATAAATGACCATGAGCTGTGACTTGTGTATACTTCAGAAAAGTAAGCAGGAAACGGAAAGGCAAAAAAGTATCAATTCCCACTCACAGATCTGTCAAACTCCAGCATGAAACATCTCTTAACATCCACCTTAGTGGGCTTGCATCCACAACGATCACGTCTTGATGTAAGATCTGAAAATCTGGGATAAGTGTAGTGCAGCACGGCGCTTTCTTCTAGTTTGACCTCTCTGTCAAAACAGATGCCATGAATCAACCATAAAATAGTCAGCACACCCAAAACGATTGGAATCGACAGGCTCAGGCATGTCGATGTAGCATTACAATGCAAAAGAGCCTTCTATTGAACAAACCGCACTAGAATCTAACATAGTAGATGGAGGGGAAAGCGATGCCAAATACAAAAGAGTCAAATGATAGACAAGTTGTGTAAGCAAACGTGAAAAAAACCATACTTTGGACTCTTCCTGTAGTTGTGCCACCGATGAGCACCATTGGGACGAAGATGGTCCTGAACACGGGCAGCAGCTTTTCCATTTCCATAGGTAAGGAAATAGTTTGGATTTCCACGAGTGGACTCTTTATAGCTTCCGAAGTAAACATCTCTCGGAAGATGGTCATAATTCTTCTTGAACATCGACACCTACAATATAAATGGAAGTACAAAACGAAAAATCTAGTTTCAGATCTATAAAGATAATTATGTACCAGTGGTGGGTACGACAATCGTGTGATCAAAATTCTCATGGGGTGCATGATCGCTTCAGATGGTTACTAAGAAGCAAGTAAACACAGAAGATGGTAACTTCTGTACCTCAGTGAAAGGTTCCTTGATATCATCTCGTTCAACGCTGCTCTCCTGAAACAAGGACAAGGACAATGAAAATGAAGCCAGAAGAAGCATTTTTCAGTATAGAAATGAAAATCCGTATCTCCTGTTAGACTCACATAATTTGGAAAGATAACTACATCCACATCTGAAGAGATATTTCCCAGCAACTTCCGTAAAGAATATTCAGGGGTTCCAGCAGGATGTATAAGCTCGTCGGTGTCAAGATGAATTATCCAATCCATATTACCATCCTAAACACACCTCATAACAAAAACATGTGGCGTGAGAAAGAGAGAGAGAAAGGTGGCATTTTTTTTTACTTTATCTACTGGCTATGTAACAGATACCTGAGCCATAGTGATTGCCATTTCCATGTTCAAAGACTGTTTCACGAATAATTCATAGTTACACGGTTTGTAGAAGAAGCTCGACAACCAAGTCTCGTTCCATATCCGGCTGTAAACCAAAAGGAAAAAATGAAATATCACATTAGTGGATTTATAGATCTAAACCAAGGTAAAGAACGTCACAGCAAACAATTTAGAAGAGAGACAACAATCACAACTCACAAGGCAAGCACATCATATCCATCATATTGATGTCAATCCATGGACTCTAAACCACTCTAACCCACAAGAAAAAGATATTTACTTTAGAATACCTTTTAGCCTGCTGCTCTTCTAATTCTTTTGTCCTGTGTACAACTCTAACACCCTGCAAAAGAAATGGCATTAGCAATAAGAACAGACGAAAACAAAACCATGGTTAGCAGAAAAAAACAAATCAACAGATCATGTCAAAAGCTCGAGAGCATACAGGGATGGTCTCCAAAACTCGAGACACGTTTGGGGATGCAGCCTTCCCCTCAACAAAGAGATAAAATGTTGAAACTCCAATAACTTTGTGATAGAAAATCCATGGCAGCGTTTGCTCCAAGCCTGCGGAAGTGCTTGTTGTAATGCATATCTACCATGACAAAATCACACAATTGCAGAAAGTCAGAATCTTTTAACCATTTTCATAAACCCAAAAATAAAATAAAAATCACAACTTTTTTCCCGCAGGACACAAATCAAATCTCAACCCAAAGACAAGTACCATCAGAACAAGGATCAAAGATATATGGCAATCAAAGATATGAACAAGGATCAAATCGAATGATAGCAATTCAACATTCAAAATCAACAAACCCAAATTGGATCACTCGCCTTAGGTTTCAGATCCGACTGGTAATCGAGATTCCAATCCCGGAAATAGGGGAACGAAGGGGCACGGCTCTGACCTAGAAGATCGACGCAGCGCGAATCAGAACCTGAGCGACGCAAGGACCGTTTCTCGTGGATTGAGGCCATTCCGGGGAACTCGTGATGATCCGTAGACCAATGCGTAACCGGGTCGTCGATTTCGCCACGCCATTGGAGAACGAAGGCGAGACAGGCGAGGGAGAGAGGAAGAAGGGTCACGAACAATAAAAGACGCGAGTAAGATGGTGATGATGTGGAAGAAGAAGAAGACACAGAGGGTTTTGAGGATGGCCACAAGAGACCCGCCATGGATGGGAGAATGCAGCCAGAGGCAAAGAAGAAGATATACACTAAGAATCCATGTGAGGGTGTGTATCAGTGTATATAGAGATGGTGGGAGGGAGACGAAGTTAAAACTGAAAGCGTTTGAAAGGAAAATGGTGACGGAGTCGTTTGTCAGTTGGCTTTCTTCTTATTTTCTTCCTATTAAAATCAAAAATAATGACATTTAAATATTTTCTTATCATAGATAAAAAAATACGAATAAATAATATAATTTGACAATTTAGCGCCTGAATATTTAAAATTTTATAAAACTCCGGATATTTTATATCGCTTGCATTGCATGGACTAAAAAGTATAACCTGAAATTACACGAACCAAAGTATGGAAAATATATATTCAAAATGATGTAAAAGTGTCAAACTATCATTACTTTATTTTCAAAATGATTTTGGATTGTTGACTTAATATTTTTCAAAATAAAATTGATTTCAGTAAATCTCATAATCACTATTTCAAATCATGCGAAATCTACTAACCAAGTGATACTATCAATAAAAGCCAACAAATCTGGCTAATATCTTTGATATGACTAGTAATCTTATTAAATCCAAAATACTTAAATGCTCGTAGAAATTTTGGTAAACAATAATTTAGATTTCTTTAGAAAGAAAACAAAATAGATTTCTTACCATGCGAGCTTTTAATCAATTGCTGAAAGGATATAGTGGGAAATTGCATTGAATTATCGTGCAAACTGACGAAGTAATCGGTCTTCAGTAACGTGAAACTAATTAAAGTTGCTAATCAAATGACTAGTAGAGAGAACTGCTAATTAAAGTTGAGGATCTGCCAAACGCTACTACATTAAAGTTTTTTTGCCAAACCCAACAATTAATTTTCTACTTATAGGCTAATCAATTAATTACTCCAGAACGTAGCAACGTGGCCCCGACAGTATTGCGTCAGCTGTCTTTATATGACGAATTCGACAATCTGACCACTAGAAGGTATACGAAATAAGAAGAGACAAAAGGAAAAAACATACAAACCAAAGTGTTTAGTGGTTTTGGCTTACTTCGTAAACAGCTTCGAATTATATTGAAGAAATCCCGGTTCAAAGTTTTCATTGTGATAATGTAGATAACAAAAACAATAAACGAATTATACATACAAATTATATAGTAATTAGAATCAGATGTTCATATCAAAGATATTACAATGTATATTACCCAATCGATGTTACGACATTTGAAGTTTTCGATCACCGACGCTAACATAAACCTAAAATTCTATGTTAAGACAACTGAAGTTGCAACAGACAACTTCACAAGGAGTATCAAGGTGGTTTTGTTGAATTTTTTGAGCTGTTTAATTACCGCTTGGAGGATATGACCAAACCGGACCAAACAAATAGATTTTAGACAAAAACAGAACCATCGAACCGATCCATACGCAAATTGGTTTCACATCTGTTACTATTATTTCTAAAACAGAAACCCAAATATATAGTGAAGTCATCAACTTGGATAAACCGAGACAAAAAAAACTATAAAAGGCAGTTTTGTTTACATGATATTCATTAATGATGTATATACCTAATGAAAGTGTGACACCAAACACTTAACTAGAGAAGCCTGATGGGGAAATTGAGATCGAGTGGTAATCTCATCTCTCTATCAGATTAATCAAAATCTGAAATCTCTCCATAAACATAACCTCAAAGCTGTAAATGTCAGCTTGCAATTGAAAAACACATTTTATTAACACAATAAACAATTAAAATTTTTGATAAACTTTTGAAAAACTAAACTTTTCATCAAGAGAAACTCTCTCAAGTGCTTTGTCTAAGGAAGTGCCTAATGAAAGTGTGAAACTCTCTCAGTTGCTTTGTACAAGAAAAACACATTTTATTAACACAATAAAGAATTAAAAACTTTGATAAACTTTTGAGAAGCATCAAGAGAAACTCTCTCAAGTGCTTTGTACAAAGAAGTGTCTAGGGTTTCAGCCACATTCTCAACCGCATTCTCAGCCACATCTATGGAGATTGCTGGTAAGATATAAAAATGTAAAAAAAATTTAAAAACCTAACACAAAAAGCATTAAAGCAAAGAAAAAAGACAAGCATTAAAAGTAAAACTTACCAAAATCTCCTATTTTGATTTCATTTTTGGAGTCCAAAAATATGTTATTATGATTGACTGTCATGATGAATGAAGCCCTTCATCATGTATATAAGCTAAAACACACACTATCTAGCAAGCCAAAACCCATTCAATCAGCTTTTAACCTTTCTAGTTTTAATATAGTAAGTTTTTAATGACGGTGAAATGTTTAGATGTTACGGCTTGATTCAAACACTCTCTTCTTCATATAAGTTTGTTGCATTCGCTAATTTTGAAATCAAAAATATTCAGATTCAATCTTTGTTAAGAATCCTTATTGTTTTGAATGGATTTCTTATTGCATGAACCATTCAAAGACGGTAAGGAGGGTTAGTAAGAACATCGCCTTAGTATTGAGTTATTATTTACGATGCTAATAATATGAGACTTATCAATTTTTCTTTGGGAGTTCTTTTGATATGGTTAAATAAAGAAAATAGATATTGGAGATTTGGAGTGGAGAGAACTTTGGGAGATTATTAGGAACATTGGCTCTTAAGGCAAACCTTATCACTTGGAAGCTTTCAGTTGACTCAGTTGTTAATTGTACAAAGATACATATGGTTTTAGCTATAAAATACAAATGTTACATTATATACTGCTATACACAAGCAACCATCTGTTGCTTTGGATACATAAAACAACAAAAGTATCAATTAAAACTAAAACTAAATCGCATCAATTGGATCTTCTCATGCCAATATGAGCTCCAAGGAGTGGCCCAATGTTCCCATCCAAAACCGATTTAAGGTCTAGAATCTCTAAACCAGTTTTAAAATCAACCACCATCTTTTGACCCTTGGAGACATATCTCCTGGTTTCTTTTACTTTCCATGGTTCCAAAATGTTCTTGGTGTTGATTTTATTTGCATCTGAAATGTTTTGCTCCTTTGCTATCACAAGCAACTTCGCCTTTAACCGGTTTAGAGCTTTGATCCTATTTGCAAACCGGTTTCTTTCTCCTGCATCAAAAATCCTATATTTGTAACCTGCATAAAATGCAGTAAACCAGAGTATAATATAACTCAAGAATACCTGAAGATTCTACGGTTATGCCACTCGGAAGATGTTGAATACGAACCATATCCTCATCTAATTTCTGATTCTCTTTTGCAGGATACGATACAATCAGATCCTCTTCTTTTACTTCAAAATCAGGAGATGCTCTCAAGAATAATGGTATGATTTCTACAGAGGCTGAACATACCTATCGCAAAGAAGAAAACAGCGTTTACTTCTTTACAGAGGAGAAGAAAATGGACAAGAAAATGATTAAATATGACAAGAGGAGTTAATTAACTTATAATGTATACCTCATTAGAAGTGGAGCTTGTGATAAGGCGGTGCACGCCTCGCTCACCTAAGAGATAACCGTAAGCAAACTCGAATTCAAACTCTATTGTGGCTGAGTTTACACCACTTTCGTTGCTCAAGAAGCTGCATTTCTCAGCCACTCTTGCATTTTGGCCTAGCTTTTCTGCCCACTTGATGTACATGCTTACAATTTTCTCTGTCCATATCTGCAAAATCCTCAAAATGTTACAAGAACGCACAGAAATCAAGTAGACAAAGCGTCTTTAGAATGGTGTAATTGACCTGAGATTTCTTGTCTTGTGATCCGGATTTGATAACCATACAAGCGCCTTCAGCGTCATATTGATCACTTAGAAGCTTAGACATCTCATAGTGATGCAAAGATCTGCTTACATCGAGGGATGAATCGTAAGCTTGCTCAAAGAGACTGTACTCTATATCATCCATCTCACCCAATTGTATGATTAGCTTAGCTTCTTCCGCCTAATTAACAAACACATTCAAAACTAAATGCCTAGCGAAAAGAAAATAAAATTAAAAAAGAATTGTTTAGAGTAAAGTAAAAGAACCTTGTATTTGAGGTCTTTGAGAGAATCAACTGCTTTGGCACGATCAGCTAATTTGAGAAGAATCTCATCGGATTTGGCTGGATCATCCCATAAGTCATAGTAACGCATTGTTTCTTCTTGCTTTATCCATTGCTCTTCTTCGTGTTCAAGAGCATTTGGTGCTAACATCTCGGCCTTAAGAACAACATCTTTGATCTTCTTCTTTAGCGAAAACAGTCCTGACGCAAATTTAAAACAAGATATATTACACAAATTCCAACAAAACAAAGCAAAACTCAGAAATTTTTTTTTTCAAAAAAACTTAAAGCTCCCAACTTTATCTGAAGAAAGAACAAATTCGAAGAACCCAGTTCCAAATTTACTATTTCTCCCTACCAAAAAACTCATCAGCTTCGATGACTATCTCTAGAGGAATACGAGAGAGAAAGAGAGATAAGATACCCAATTGCTTATAGACGGCGTCCATGTCATCCATGGAATGAGAGGATCGAACAGAGAAGAGAAGAAATCGAGATGTTTTTGTCTTGTCCGAATTTCTTGAAAAGCGCCGCCATGAACACCCTCCGCCAGTAATCTTTGCCGCCATTTTTGTTCGCCAGAGCTCCGACTAAAATATCAAATGGGGTTTAAGCTCAGTTCTTGTCCGCGTGATGGGTCTTCCACAACCTTATCTTCAGGCTCTGTTTTTAAAATTTTAAGCTCAGTTCTTGTCCGCGTGATGGGTATTTACGTAATTAGCTGTAGGGTTTAGACTTTAGAGTGAAGAATCGACAAAAAACGGTGCGGTTTATATCTCTCTGAGTCAGGGAATCTGACTATCCTTTCTTCCGACGGAGTTGCTTATCCCGGCAAATTTTCCGCGCGATTGCATCCCAATTCCGTAGTGATACTCTCAAACGAAATGGTGGTTTTGATTTCAAGTACAGTGACTATCTGCAGAGTAAAACCAAAGCTTGAAGACGGAGGCTTTCGCGTCAACCGGTTAATACCCAGACCCGAAGTTCCATTTTTCTCAGGTAATTTTCTCTCTTTTTTTTGTTTAATTTTCGGAAGCAATTTCTCGTTCTGGTGATGAGTTTCTGAGGAAAGGTTCAACTTTTCAATAGGGTTGAGTGAGACGAAGAAGAAGAAATGTGCAGTTTCGGTTAAGTGTTTAGCTGTGAAGAAAGAACAAGTTGTTCAAACCGTGGAGAGGGCCAAAGGGACGATTTTTCCTAAAAAAGCGAAAAATCTTATCATGAGCGATGGAAGAGATGAAGATGAGGAGTATGGGAAAGTTATTTGTCCAGGCTGTGGGATTTTTATGCAGGACAATGATCCAGATTTACCCGGATATTATCAAAAGAGAAAGGTCACTGCAAAGAACTTGGAAGAGGAGGGAGATGAGACTGAAGATGAACTTGATGGGTTTGAAATGGTTGATGATGATGATGATGATGATGTGGAGGAGGAAGATGATGATGATATCACGAATGCATTAGAGGGCAGCAACTCTGAAAGTGAGAGCGAGTTTGACTGGGAATCAGATGAGTGGGAAGAGAAGGAGGAAGAAAATGATGTTGTATTGGATGGTTTTGCTCCGGCTGGTGTTGGATATGGTAACGTCACAGAGGAGATGGAGAAGAAGAAACGGGTTTCTAAATCAGAGAGGAAGAAGTTAGCTAGAGAGGAGGCAAAGAAAGACAAGGAGGATGACGTGACGGTGTGTGCTCGTTGCCATTCTCTAAGAAACTATGGCCAAGTGAAGAACCAGGCTGCTGAAAACCTCTTGCCCGATTTCGATTTCGACAGGATGATCTCAACTAGGCTGATCAAACCGATGAGTAGCAAATCCAGTACCACGGTCGTAGTCATGGTTGTTGATTGTGTCGACTTTGATGGCTCGTTCCCCAAACGAGCGGCCAAGTCTCTGTTCAAAGCGCTTCAGAGAGCTGAGAATGATCCTAAGGTTGGCAAAAACCTCCCAAAACTCGTGCTCGTTGCGACGAAAGTAGACTTGCTCCCTACACAGATTTCACCAGCTCGGTTAGACCGGTGGGTGCGCCACCGTGCCAAGGCTGGAGGAGCGCCTAAGCTGAGCGGTGTGTATATGGTTAGTGCTCGGAAAGATCTCGGTATTAAGAATTTACTAGCTTACATCAAAGAATTAGCTGGTCCACGAGGGAACGTGTGGGTTATTGGAGCTCAAAATGCTGGGAAATCTACTTTGATCAATGCGTTCTCCAAGAAAGACGGTGCAAAGGTCACAAGGCTCACGGAAGCTCCGGTTCCTGGAACCACTCTTGGAATACTGAGAATTGGTGGTGTATTGTCTGCAAAGGCGAAGATGTATGACACTCCTGGACTTTTGCATCCTTACATCATGTCCCTGAGATTGAATTCAGAGGAGCGGAAAATGGTAGAGATAAGGAAAGAGCTTCAACCTCGGTCTTACAGAGTCAAGGCAAGCACTCTCTTACTCTTATATAAACAGTTGAATCACATAAAGTTTAACAGCTTCAATGCATAGTTAAAATTATGAAGTATACTCCAAAAAATTAAGCTGAATCTTTGATTGTAGGCAGGACAATCTGTTCACATTGGTGGTCTGGTCAGGCTAGACCTGGTTCGTGCTTCAGTTGAAACAATATACATAACGATATGGGCATCGCATAGTGTTTCATTGCATCTAGGAAAAACAGAGAACGCAGAAGAAATATTCAAGGGCCATTCCGGTTTACGTCTGCAGGTAAGTAAAGCTTGTTTCCTCATCTCCTCACAAACATCAGAGAATATTGTAATGAGAAACCCTTTTCTTTCTCTATGAAATAGCCACCAATCGGAGAGAAGAGAGCGTGTGAGTTAGGAGAGTGGGAAGAGAAGGAGATTCAGGTGACGGGAAGTAGCTGGGAGGTGAAAAGCATCGACGTTGCAGTGGCTGGTCTTGGCTGGTTCTCGCTTGGTCTCAAAGGAGAAGCAACGTTAGCATTGTGGACGTATCAGGGGATTGATGTGACCTTGAGAGAACCATTGGTTATTGACCGAGCACCGTTTCTTGAGCGGCCTGGCTTCTGGTTGCCTAAAGCCATCACCGAAGCGCTTGGAACCTACTCTAGCAAGCTTGATGACGCTCGTAGGAGGAAGAAGCAACAAGACAGTACAGACTTTCTCTCTGATATTGGTGAATAGACAGTTACATAAGCTTAAAAAAAATCATTGTAGCCCCTTGGTAACAAGCTTCACCATTTTTGAAATCAAGACATTTTATAAAAGTTTGTGTTTTTTTAAACCACTGTGGAATCCATCTAGTAAAATTATGAACTCTAAAAAATATTTTATGATTCATTTGCAACAATTACATATGGTAAGCACAGTAAATTGGCATATGATTATTATGTGCATATATATGAGTTTTTTTTTTTTTTTGAATATAATGCATATATATGAGTTATTCATTAAAAACAAAAAAAATGAGAAAGAGGAAAAGATTAAAAACCCCAAAGATTCTCTTTCATTTACACTTGCTTCTTCAGCTTCTTCTCCGATAGGTGTGTTTCTCTTTCTGGATTCCGACATTTTCCTTGTCTAATTGTTGGATTCGTGACCTAATCTCGATTCAATCCATGGAATGAATTACAACTTTAAGCTTCAAGTCTGTGTTCGGAGATCTCCTTCCCTCCCGGCGAAATCCGAGATTCCCCCCTCAAATTCGTAGAATTTTGTAGGGTTTTGGATTGTTCTCGATAGTATCGATCAAAGGTTAGGACTTTGTAGGGTATTTTGGTAATTGTGAGCAGAGAGCTGAAATGAAGAGAAAATGTAGGATTTGGTTGCCTAAGCAGCTCGAATCAAGTGATGATTTGACGACTTACAGTCTATTGTTTGGGTGGTTCGTGTGCCATTCATCTTCTTGTCTTGACGTTGTGGTTGCCTTCATCTCTGATGAAAGCTCCTTCTCCAATGGCGGATCTATGCTCCAAGTAATTTCCTTGTTTCCTAAATTTTGTAGCTACCCTTGTCTCTAGCATTGTTGATAAACAGTGTATGCTGCATTTTTCCTTTGTGGTTTCTTACAGGAAGTACTCCATGAAACAAATGAGAAGATGCCCTTGACTCTGCGGGACAAAACAACATTTACGCTTCTTGGTCGTTATGATATATGCCTCAATGCTAATGGAAACTCATCCAAGATTATTTCAACAGACAAAGATGTGTGCAGTAAGGCCGGAGCTTATGGTAGTCTTTCCAGATATAGTAGCCTAAGCTGTGGTTGTCATAGGGTTGATGGCTTATTAGAGGATTTCAGGAAAGATTCTGTGCCCAGTCACTGGATTCATATGGTGCACGATTCAAGATTGCATCATATACATTGGAATGGGGATATTGTATCTCAATGTGATGTACACGTATGTAAGTCATGGTGTCTTTTCTCCTGTATTATTCTTTTTGTTTTGTTTTTTTTTTCAATCTATGCACTTCCGTTCTTGACTCTAAAAGCATGGGCAATGTCAGGTTATAGTCTATGACACTCCAGTGTTTGGTTCTCACCATTTCTCGTTAAGCTTTTGGAATTCTTCTCCTCCGACAAAAGCTCCTCTTAAGAAACCCAATTGGGTTGATGATCTTCACAAGAGGCAACCTCTTAATGAAATGGTTGAGTAGTTTCCATATGGTTTCTCTTTCTTGTGCCGTTACTTTCTCGACCTGTTGCTAACATTATCTTATTCTTGAATGTTAGCAGGAAACTGTGATTCTTTCCATAAATTGCGCATCATCTGCCAAGATTGCCTATAAGAAGCTAATCACGCTGGATACTTCTTCCCGGAGCTCTTCTATTTGTTCCTTGTGAGCTCTCGAGAGACTTTACTTTACTTGTTCGGTTCTTCCTTATATCTTTGTTGTTAGCTGTTCTAACTGCTTGCATCTTACGTTTTCAGGATATCTTCTTTGACATGGTGGTTACTCGCCACAATCATAAGCTCTTTATCAAGTCTACATTATAGCTTCATCCGGTTCTTTTACGTACTTTCAAGTTTTCCGATTTTCTCATGGGTGCATATAGCATCAAGGAGAGTATTCAAGAACACATGGATCAACTTCAGAGTACGCAGTTGTCAGATCTTATATTGGCCAATCTTCCTTCAAGAGAATGACATGACGTAAGTTCACCCCTTTAGTTTTGTAAAGTTTTTCTGTTTCCCATTGGCTCAAAGTTGCATCTCCTATTTGGTCATGATTTTGTGTATGTGCTTATGGATTTATGGATTTTCTGTTTTCCGGTTCTTCTGGGTTTCACAAGGTCCATATCCTGTGTGGAACATGCAGAGAAAGCTGCGCTGCAAAGACATTCTACGTGGTCGGCCATGGCTGTTGATCTTGTTCTGGGGAACTTGATTGGTCTATCTCTATTGTTTAACACCGGATCTGTCTGCTCGTGGATATTAACCTTTGCAAAGGAGTTTACGAACGAGATTTTGCGATCCGGTTGTGTGTGGCTGATGGGAGTCCCAGCGGGATTCAAGCTAAACACAGAATTGGCTGGAGTTTTAGGGATGGTATCTCTTAATGGAATCCAGATATGGTCTACTCTCTGGTTCTTCATGGCTTCTTTCATCTTTTATTTGATAAGAGTAATAGCCATCACGGGAATTACATTTGGTGCAACAGTATCTGCTGCGTTTGTCATAGACGCCATTAGTTTTGCAACACTTCACATAACTGCTCTTCATTGGGCCATCACACTTGTGTACTCTCACCAAATTCAAGCTTTAGCAGCTTTGTGGAGGCTTTTCAGGTAAATTTGATTATTTAAATTAGCTGAGTTCACTCATTAAGCTGATAATTAACATGTAAAAGCAGGAGACATGCAATGATTTTTCTGTTTTCCTTTGAAAAATCCGGGGAAAATATTAAGCATTTTACATATTGAATTATTCTTTGTTTTTTACAGAGGACGAAAATTGAATCCTCTACGTCAAAGGTTGGACAGCTATGGTTACACAGTGAAGCAACACGTAGTGGGATCGCTTCTGTTCACTCCTCTTCTGCTTCTCTTGCCAACAACTTCAGTTTTCTACATCTTTTTCACCATTACGAGCACTGCAATAAACTCCGTATGCATGTTTATTGAATTCGCCATCTCTGTCATCCACGCAACACCGTATGCGGAGATTATGATTTGGTTTGTGAGGCGCAAAAGATTCCCTTGTGGTGTTTGGTTTGAAATCGAACACCATGGAAAGAAGATCCTCGGTTCCTCGAACGGTGCTTTTGAAGACAGAAGCAACAATACTGTATCCATTAGTCGACTAGAAGAAGATCAGATTCCTGAGAAGAAACCATTGCTAATGGTCTCCAATCTTCGCAGCAACTTCTTAAGCATAGGTGAAGTTCTCGCTGGTTTTTTTAAAGTCAAGTGTAAAAGTTCAACTGGATGCTCTGTTTATGCTGACATTGTAAGAACATGTTGCAGGTCAGATTCTTTTGCCTCACTATACGACAATGTTTTCAGGAGTATCAGCTTCTTCTCTGACTACATCAGCTCGCGGAGTCCTCAGTGGTAAAAGGTATGATCTTTTCTTGACCACAAAGTCTCGAAACATCTCTTTTATGATGGAATTTATTGGACCTTATGTTGTCGTCTTTACAGAATGCCATCGAAACTGGGGCTCGACCTGCCTCCTCCAAGGCCATGGATGCACATGCCATTGAGACAGTACTGGATCCTATGCCATGATTCCATCATCTCATCCCGCGGGAAACGGTGAATTCTCTCTCTTAACTAATTTTGTAGCGTTTTAAGAAAGGACAAGAAATAGAATCTCCCCCAAAAAGCTTGGAGATGGACACGTGGCAGAGTTAAAAGTTTCCCAAAAGCCTAGGCAGAACGACAGAACAGAGAGTCGCTGATATTATCAGCGTCGGGTGTGTTTGCCGTCGTTTTTGTATTTATTTTTGTCGGGATAGATAAAAGAACACGTTTTATATTATTTGATCATTAAACTGGGTGAAATTGAATACTATTGTGAGCCGGTGTTGTGGAGCCGTCGATGTTTCGGTCACAAACCCACTTAAACGATGGAAGATAATAGACAGTGCTGTGAGAGTTTATTACAAAATTTGGTTACATGTCAAAAAATTATAAAATTGTGATGAGTCCCTCTTTCTATTGATAAATTAGAATTGTAAAGACAACAGATTTTTTTGTATTAAGAAAGAGATTTTATATATTTTTATCAAAATAATTTTGTTCTAATATGTGTCACTATTGAATGTTAGATTTATTTTGTTCTAAGATAAGGGGAATAGCTCGAATTTAATATTTAGATATTATTTACCTTATATTTGATTTTCCTTTTTAAAATTATTTAACACAGCTTTTTTTTGTTCCATATCAGTTTCCTAATGTTTATCCCGTAATTTAATAATTGGTTAAGATTTCAATGCAAGATTAGTTGTATTCCATAAATTCACAAAAAAAAAACTTATAGGAATGGTTCTAATTTAGAACTTCTAAAAAAGTTTGGCAATGCACCGTATCAGAATATCTAAAATCCTAATGTATATGCTATGTGTTTAATAGGAGGATAAACGTTACAGATTTCCTTTATAAAAACAAATCAACCTAATATGTCAGCAGCAAGTGATAGTACAAATAAGACGCGCTTTGTCTCTTCTGTCGCCACAACTCTTCCTTCTATTGCGTTTTACGAGAGAACAAACAAAAAGTAGCCAAGAAGAAGAAGAAGAAGAAGGAGAAGACAACTTACGATGAGTCAACCTCCAGTCGATGCTGCTCCTCCTCAAGGTACCTCCTGATCTCTCTCTTCGTTTTATGATTTGAAATTTGAGTCTCAAACCCGTTAAATATTCAACAAATCTTGATCAAAAATGTTGTTATGACTTTTGACCCCGAATCGTTTTTTTCTTGTGCTCTACTAAACTCTGAATAGGTTATCCGCCGGTAGGATATTCTCAACCGAAGGAAGCTTATCTTCCGCCGCAGGGCTATCCTCAGCAAGCTTATCCTCCGCCGCAAGCTTATCCTCCTCAGCAATACCCACCACAACAGCAGCAGCGCAATGTTGGTATGCTAGAAGGATGGTAAGTCATTTTAAACCATTGTTCGATGATCTGTTTTTTGCAACTCTACTACATCCTTTAGTGAGATTCATGCTTGCATGTTGTTATATAACGTTTAACTGCATCTTTCTACTTGGTATGCTAAGACTTACTAGTAATAAATACGATATGATTATTAATTCGTGAGTTTGTTATGCCTTTGCAGTCTCGCTGCTATGTGCTGTTGCTGTCTCTGCGAAGCTTGCTTCTGAGTGCTGTCTCTCCTTGAAGCTATGCGAAAATTGGATTATTTGTTGTCATCTCATCTTTATTCTTTTTCATTTTATGTATTTTCAGCTGAAATCATAAATAATTGTTGTCAACATTTTTCTCTTGCTTATTTATACAATATAAACAACCGGACTAATTCGAAATTCGAAAACAACTTTCGAGAATTCACTTAACTTTAAAATGTATCTATTGATTAAATTGTACGGGATTCAGACCGGACTATATAGTTGCACTGATTATTGCCAGAGATAAAATAACGTTGGATAATACCGAACTTATCTACTAGACTAACTACTACGAACCAAAACATATTTTTGACTTCAACAGGTTTGATTGTTCGTCGCGACTCGCGCGAGATTTACAAATAAAAACAGAGACTATTTGTGCAAAAGCAAAACTTATCTTTCCTTCTTTTTCAATTTGTGACTTTTTGTTCCCCAAAATTAGAAAGTCCAAAATATTAGATCGCCATTTTTGTCTCTTAGCAAAATGAATCTGAGAATTCCTTTAAATTCATTTCCTCTGTTCTTCTTTCCCCTGAAACAGAATCTTTTTTACCGTAATATCCCAATGCCTCCCAACGATTGCTGTTTCCTCTTTCTCACTTTCATTCCCGTTTCTTGTTCCTGCGTTGGAACCTCCATGGATTTGCGATCTCTCCTTCTCTTCTTGTAAAATAAAAACCCAATCTTTTGCAGACGTTTTCACTTCTTTGTATCAATCGTAAACACCCGAAGAATGGATATAAGCAACGAAGCAAACGTGAATTCGTTCTCAATAGGACCCACGTCTATGATCGGAAGAACAATTGCATTTCGGATCCTCTTCTGCAAATCAATGTCTCCATTGAGACACAAACTGCTCAGGTTCCTCTGGTGCTTCCTCGGAGGAGCTAAGGCTTTTCTTACACCGTTTGTGTCCTGGTTGCATCCCAGGAACCCACAAGGGATATTAGCTATGGTGACGACGATAGCCTTTATGTTGAATCGCTACACAAGCTTAAAAGCAAAGGCTGAGATGGCTTACAGGAGAAAATTCTGGGGGAACATGATGAGAGCTGCGTTGAGCTATGAAGAATGGTCTCACGCCGCGAAGATGCTTGATAAAGAGACCCCGAAAGTGAACGAGACCGAGCTTTTCGATGTGGAGCTTGTTTGCAATAAGCTCGAGGAGCTTAGGACCAGACGTCACGAGGGATCTCTAAGAGACATTATCTTCTGCATGAGAGCTGATCTTGTGAGAAATCTAGGTAACATGTGTAACCCCGAGCTTCACAAGGGAAGGCTTCAAGTTCCGAGGCTCATCAAAGAGTATATCGACGAGGTCTCCACACAGCTTAGTATGGTTTGTGATACGGACACCGAAGAGCTTTCTCTGGAGGAGAAACTATCTTTTATGCACGAGACGAGACACGCGTTTGGAAGAACGGCTCTGCTTCTAAGCGGAGGAGCTTCTCTTGGCGCTTTCCATCTCGGTGTGGTCAAGACGCTTGTGGAACATAAGCTCTTACCGAGGATTATCGCCGGTTCGAGTGTTGGCTCTGTAATGTGCGCGGTCGTGGGGACAAGGTCGTGGCCTGAGTTACAAAGCTTCTTCGAAGGCTCGTGGCACGCGTTGCAGTTCTTTGATCAGATGGGAGGGATTTTCACTACTGTGAAACGTGTGATGACCCAAGGCGCAGTCCACGAGATCCAGCATTTGCAGTGGAAGTTGAGGAATCTCACCAACAATCTCACGTTCCAAGAAGCTTACGACATCACAGGACGGATCCTCGGGATAACGGTTTGCTCACCGAGGAAGCACGAGCCGCCTAGATGCCTCAACTACCTGACATCGCCTCACGTCGTAATATGGAGTGCGGTGACTGCGTCTTGTGCGTTTCCAGGTCTTTTCGAGGCTCAAGAACTCATGGCCAAAGACAGAACAGGGGAGATTGTTCCTTATCACGCACCTTTTAACTTGGTTCCTGAGGAGAGCTCGGGAGCATCGGTTCGGCGCTGGAGGGACGGTAGTTTGGAGATGGACTTACCGATGATACAACTCAGAGAGCTTTTCAATGTTAACCATTTCATTGTCAGTCAAGCCAACCCTCACATCGCACCTTTCTTGAGGATGAAGGAGTTTGTGAGAGCTTGTGGAGGCCGATTTGCTGCAAAGGTACGGTTCATATTCGAAGTCATAGACAAACTTATATGATTCATTCCCTGATTCAGTCTCTTGACTTCTCAAAGCTCGCTCAACTCTCGGAGATGGAAGTAAAGCATAGGTGTAATCAAGTGCTAGAACTCGGTTTACCTCTGAGAGAAGTAGCGAAGCTATTTGCTCAAGAATGGGAAGGCGATGTCACTATCGTCATGCCCGCTACTTTTTCTCAGGTAATCTCAGAGAATGCTAAAACCTTTGTGTGTGAGTTTCAACTTCAGTGATAAAAATCATTTTCTTGTGTGTTTTCGGATACAGTACTTGAAGATCATACAGAACCCATCTAATGTAGAGATTCAAAAGGCGGCAAACCAAGGAAGGAGATGCACCTGGGAGAAGCTCGCGGTCATCAAAGCAAACTTCGGGATAGAACTCGCACTAGACGAGTGCGTCGCCGGACTTAACCACATGCGGCGCCTTAAACGCACCGCTCAAAGGGCCGCTGCTGCCTCCGCCTTATCTCAACATCCTTTGGTCGCAACAACCACAAGGTTCAACGCCTCCAGGAGAATCCCATCCTGGAACTGCATCGCGCGTCAGAACTCATCCGGATCCGTCGATGATGATGTGCTTGCAGAAGCTTCGCTGATTTACCAGCAAGTCGTGCTTGGATCCGGGAGGAATAACAGAACCGGCAACGACAACGTATCCCACGACGGAGAAAGCGACGGAGGTTCCCCAGAGGCTGAAGACTGGACGAGATCTGGTGGACCATTGATGAGAACCACGTCTGCTCAGATATTCACGGACTACGTCCAGAATCTAGACGCCGTTGATCCCGAACAGGCGCCATTTAGAGGCTCCGACAGAGCTCCGGAGAGCGATTCCGCTTCCCGTAGCATCACGGTCACGGAAGGCGATTATCTCCTGACGGGGAAGACACACAACGGACTCGTGTTGAACCTTGTCAGAGGAGAGAGTTTGAGGAGGAATCAAGATCTGGAGGATACGCAGAAGACCGTTGAAACTCCGGAAAGCGTGCAACTCGATTCGCTGGTAAATGATATCGACGGAGGTAGCTCGGAGTCGGAAGACGGGGACGCTCAGGCGGGGAAGGCGGCGGAGACGAATCTAATCTTATGAGTAGGTAACTGAACTGTACATACTAGACAGGCCCAAGTCAAAGAGAGTTTCCCTCTCGTCTGGTCTAAAGGACTAGGTTGCTGCAAATCTCTACGACTTTGCAATTTTGTAGAATAGTCCTTTAAACTTAAGAAAATATTATTTTAGCCATGATGTTTCTTTAACATTAAACTCTCATCCAAAGTATTGGATTGCTTTTCTAGCGACACCTACAAAAATATTAAATAATCGAATTCGAACTTTCTTGCTTTTCTTGTTTTTTAAAATAAATTCTTGGTTCTTAATATATTTATGTTTTCTTTCAAATAATTCTTCAAAAAGTTATAAATCCAAAAAAAAAAAATTAACTCGGTAAAACAAATTTTAGAGTTAAGAAAGTGATAAATGTGATTGGTAAAATTGGTACATAAATTAGTGATAAAACTAATTTATTTGTATCGTTATTTCTTATAATTCTCTCTTTTTTTTCCTTTTTTACTATTAATTAGTTTATCCGATTGATAATATGCTAAAATAGTTAAAATGATATATACAAGGAAATGGTAACAAAAGATGATAAAACATAATAACACAAATAAACTGGTTATAAAGTACCGGTAGTTTGGTGTTTTTAAAAAATGTGATTAGTAGCCTATACTGGCAATACTCAGAACCTCTTAATTTTTTTGTTAAACAGAAAACACCTGAAAGAAAAAAACTTGCGACCGCCATAGCAAGCAGCTTCTACGCAAATCGCAGAAAATTATATTTTCACACTGACTACAATATTACGAATTCTGATCATCTAATGGTTTTACTTTGAATACACTAATTGAGTACATAAGGTCAACATTGTGGAGGTGACACTGACACTTCCATAAATATTGGCTTTTTCGTTTTCGTTTTCCTTTTTCCTTTTGTGCTTTTCTTTTTGTGAACCTCTTTATGTTATTAGATATATGCATGTATGTATATATTGCGAAAAGTACTTTTGTTTCTATCTTACACGACAAAGATTTATGTTTCTAATTCCTTCACACGCACCAAAGAGTAAAGGAAACGCAAGGGTAAAAAGTAGGAGAAATGCATTGTTAGGTTTAAGAAATTACAACTGTATTTTAATTAATTATGTAGCGAGGCCGTACCGCTAATGAAAGTGTATGTATATTACTAATTACTAATAAAGCCTAAATATGTCAACGTGTAACTCAAGATTAATTTTTCACCATCTATATATGACCCTTTTGATTGTGCTCTCCTTCTCTTCTCACCTCCTTCCACGATCTTCACGGGATTACCGTTAACATTTGTTCCCATAGCCATACACATATAGAAAAATGATCATAACAACAGATTAATCATATCATTGAATATGTTTTATCTTAATTAAAACCCTAGTAGTGGTGGTGATGATGATAATGATACATCTTTGACGGGTCATGGTGGTGATGCAGGCTCATTCCCTCCCTTTGATTGCTATGTCCATGTCCAAGATCCCGATTTGTAGCTCCAAGATTCAGATAAACCAAGCTTGAATCCAAACTACTTCCTCCGTTGCTTCCGCTCGTGTGTTCGTCGTCTTTCATCCTAGGGTAGATCACGGTGTTGTTGTCGTTCTTGTTATTGTTCCCTTCTTCGCGTGAAATCACCAATGCCGCGGACTGGACCAGCTCAAGACAAAGTCTGAGCTTATTTGGCTCAATGTGAGTCAATCCAGGAATCGCCCCCTTGAACAAGAAATCTGACGTTAGGGTTCTAAGGATGTCAAGAGGAGTGATACCATCAACAGTCTGAACGTTTGGATCGGCATGATGATCGAGTAAGACAGCCACCATGTCCGGAGAGACCATCTCCGCCGCTATGTGAAGCGCGGTTTTCCCTCGCGGACCCGCAGGATAGTTCACATCGGCTGCTCCAAGCTCAAGAAGTGCCTTCACAACCTCTCTACTACAGTTCTCCACCGCGTAAATCAAAGCTAAGGACTCGTCTAGATTGAGTCCTTCTCCCATAACCATTAGCTTCACGAGCTCGACATCTGAGGCGTCCAATGCTCGTCTCATCCTTCTGATTTTCTGGTCCTCTAGGTCTAGAACTGACGTTAGGTCATGTTGGTGAGGCATTAGGGAACGAAGAGGCATGGAAGATTTGAGACGAAGCTCTTCAACCTTGGCTACGAGTTCGATTGGGAGATGTTTGGCTAGAATCTCTGTTGGAAGACCGGATTTGGCGACTAGGTAAGAGCAAGTGGTCCATAATTGATGCATGTCTTGCTTTCTTGAAGCTATTAGCACTTTCATGACATCTTCAATGGAGGCTTTCTCCACCATGCTTGTCAGATGTTTCTGTGGTTGAAAAAGAAAGAAAAAGAAGTCAAGACAAAATGTTGAATACAAAGACTACACACCATTTATTTTTCATTTGGATCAATATGCATGTTTTCATCAAAGGGTTTTCATAATATCCAAACCCAAAAGAGTAAAGTGGGGTAAGACAATTATAGGAATTGTGAAATCCAAAGGTTAGGGAAAATAAAAGAGTAGCGAAATAAGATTGACAAAATTTATTAAGAGAATAGTTTCGAGTTAAATTTAAAACCTATGGAATGATAAAAATAAAATCATTTCGTTTTGATCATTGCATTGCGGAGTGGCGATTCCACACGGATATGTGACTAGTAAAATCATGCAAACTTGCAAAACAAACATGTCATTTTTCAATGTTTGGAGTAACTAACAAGATCACTGTTAGTAGTCAAAGTAAAACTATTTAGAAAGATATATATATATATATATATATATATATATAAAATAAAAAGTTTGAAAATCAAAAAATAAATAAAGTATGTATATATATATATATATATATATATATCTCAAGTTAATTTCTTCTGTGTGTAACACAGCACATCAGTCCATCGCCGTCTAAATCCGGAAATGAGGTTGTAGTACGTGTAATGCAAGCTTAGTTGCACATGAAATCAAACAAGAACAACTATTGTCTATATTCATATACATGTATCATCAATAGGGTTTCAAAATTCAACTCAACCGCACCAAACCAAACCAAGCCAAATCGGAACAGTACATTACCAAGATTAAAGAACAGCATTCATTAGCCTAAAGAGTCTTTTTTCAAAATAATTATAACCTGAGTAAGCAACGCGAGCTGCTCGACGCCAAAATAACGAGCGGCGGCTAAGATATCTAAAGCGAGATCAACGGCTGCAGTGCAATGCGTGTGCCAACATCCTCTATCTCCACAATTCGATCTTGGCTCGTGCTTATGGGGTACGATTGAGACTTGACCACTGTATAAGAACTGAAGTAGAAGTAAGAAAACTTCGTAACCGACCGAGTTAACCGGTATGACTCCTCCCACTACGCCTGCTCTGGATCCTGACCCGGTTTGGTCAGCCGATTCGGCTCCCATTTGTGAAGGATCAGATCCGCAGAAGAATTTGCGGAAGAAGAGGCTACGAGCGGCGAGGATGCAACGGTGAGCGTGGACTAGACGGCCTTCGACGCTGAAAGTGACGTCAGAGAAAGCTTGACCGTTGATTAAGAGGTTTAGGTAATCCAACGACAGAGATTTCAGCGATTCTTCGATAGTACTGCTCATGGTCTTTGAGTTCGGACAAAATTAGGGTTTTCAAAGGGATAATGATTAAAAAAAAACAAAAAACAAAAAACAAAGAAGTTGTCTATTTTGACTTAGTAAGCTATAGCAGATGAAGAAGATGGTTTTTTCCAAAGAAAATGTTCTAAAATGGGTCAAGCTTTTAAAAGCTCACGGAGCTGATGAATAAGAAAGAAGAAGAAGAAGAAGAAGAAGAAGAAGAAGAAGGAGAGAGAGATAGAGTCTATAGTGTTTGAAAGATTGGTTTGTGTGTGTATATAGAGAGAGAACGAGACAGAGATCTGAATAGGCGGACCGGGGGGTCTTGAATTAATTTACAATAATAAAAGACGATAAAAATGATTAATGTCGACGTGTGTGCTCTTTTTTATTGGCTAGTAGCAATTGGAGTTTTGTGTATTGGTTTTTTTGTTGTCAAGAATTCAGAAGCAATCAGCAATTAGAGAGTTGAGATAAATTTTAGTGATAATATCTTTTGTTACTGAAATAGGAAGATAACAAAGTAAGAAAAGGGACGACATAAAAAAAAAGGTAAGAAAAGGGTTTGCTTAACATAGAAGTACGGGCCGAATCTATTTGGGAGTAAATGATTTATTTTGTGAATACATTATTAGTTGATATTTTTAAAAAGATCAATAGAGAAAAAGTAAGTTTTAAGTAATGTGGCTGAATATCATTAGTACAGATTACCGACTAATTAACAAACACCCAAATTAACCCCATGTGTCACGTAACACTTTAGTCACATACATAATCACGTACTTAGTTAGTTGCCATGAAAATAAACAAGACAAGATCCGTGGCAACTGTCTTTTTGGCTTCATTCACGACATATATGAAACTCAATGAACACCATGATGTTATATAAGAAACATATACATGGCATAGATTCATGCGTTACCTAACGCCAATAAAATCAGGGGTTTGGAAAATGCCTTGAACATATGGATCACAGCGATACACATTTAGCAAATTGGTTTTATATACAAAAAAAAAAAAATTGCATTAAAAGTGGTGTGATTATATGGATCAAAACATGCATAATTTTTGTTAATGTATTGTGTTCCCATATTTATAGTTGTGCTGTGTCAGACGTCTATGAAACTATAGTTTTTAAAAAACGCATTCACCATATATATATATCGCAGGAAAAAAACAGACCAACCAATACCATGATCACTATTTGGATGTTATATATGCATGCGTGTTAAAATTGTTATTATGTAATGTAAGGATGGGGAGAAATGGTAAACTGGACAGGACGGTGATGGACAAGTACATTGGCCTAATTCGTTTAAGGCAAAACAACTAAAAGTCTCGACTGTACTTAGTAAATGTGTGATTTGATGGTTTGGCGTTTGACCGCTGGTCCCTTTCTGACCATCTCTTCTCTTGTATCCTCCTACTTTTTATTCCACATAGAAAAAAAAAACCAATCTCTTATTTTTCTACAAGATAATAAATTAGGATTGAGAAAAAAAAAAACGTAAAATGATCATGAAGTTCTGTCAGTACTTGGATTCAATTCTTGATTCATTAGATTACAAGTGTTTCAATTCTAATTGTTCAATATCTATGAGGATATATGATTATGTTACAAATGACAGGCGGAAAATAGTTTAAATATCATTAATTAAGGTTTCTAGCCTAAAAATATCATAACTAATATGTAGAATTTTTTATGTTCGAGAATCTACAAGATTACTGACAGAGATAAACAAACGAATTCTTATGTAGAGTTAAATTTTCTCGCATAGTACTAGTCACTCTTATTCCAATTCACGTAAGACATTTTTCCCGATAATATCTTTATTCCGTAGAGTTATTAATTGGTGCCAAGTCGTCAATATAAAAACTACAAAAGAAAAAAAATTAAAGATGTACCTAGTTAGATGTCGATCACTTTCGTTAGAAGCGCTAAGTGCTAAATTCAGCTAAAAACGTGATATAGAAGAATTTGAAGTATTTGCACACAAACAAAAAAAGAAAAAAAATTTGAACTAATCAATTTATTTTCGTAACAGAAATGATAACGCAGATAAAAAAACAAAAGTAATAAAAAAAAAAATAATGTAAATTAAAGAAATGAGTGGTGGAGTGTTGAAGGGCATGGGTTTGCGCGTCGACCGGGTTGATCGGGTCCTTCTGTCGGGCCACTATTATATTTAATTTTTTTATTTATAATTTTGAACTCAACGTAATTTTTAAGCATTTAAAAAAAATATATATACAAAACATCAAATCTAAATCTAAAATTATTACCCACTTCAATTAGGATACTGGTTCTAAGAAAGTTAAAAATGATTAAAATTCTTAAGCCTGCTTCTATCATTTGTAGACAGAATTATTCTTATAATTACTTTGATATATACCATATATGGTTTCCACTCTGGATAGATTTACGGTTGAAAAAATTAGAATTTTAAATAAATAAAAAATATAAGTTTTTTTAGTTAAAAGCTATACATCATTTAAATTTTAATATTACAAAGAATTGTTTTGTGATATATACACCAGATATAATAATCATCTACTAATGATTGGATATTAGGTTAAAGGTAGATTATTGATGTAAATGTTGAAACGTAATGACATCTGTTCGTTTTTTTTGTCTAAAGTGTTTTTAATTTTTGTTTTATCATATGCGAAAGCGGGATCTCTCATGTCTCATCACTCAATCTTCTTGTTTTTTTTTCTCCTTTGGTAAAAGTTTATTATATCGTTGTAACAAAAGAAAAGAATACTTAATTATATCGTTACGATGGTTTTCCCATCCGTGGACCGTTAATCTAGTCCTTCTCGAATGAACAATATTCTTCAAATGGTACACCATGAGGTCAGTCAGGAACACACGTGCGGGGTGATAGATATTTACTTTTGTTTTCCATATCTTGTTTTGACAGAAAAAATATACAAGAAAGAAACTGTTCTTTTTTCCCAAATCTATCTATTCTTCATATTTGTAATATACAGGATGTCCGTATTATATATACATATCGGCTTTAGTTTGTGTTATGACTGAGAAAAGGTGGAAATATTAGTGAAAAAAGGATGACAACACAAGAATGCACTGGCAGTCGTATGATAAGATAGAGATCCGATTTGACGTTTGTCTTGTCTTTTCAGTCTCTCTCTCTCTTACAAAAAAAGTAAATTACTTTTTTTCCTTCTTTTGTTTATTTTCTTCTACCCACCGTTAATATGTTTTCATGCATATTTTTTTCAAAAAAAAAACTAAAAGATTATACCTTCTTTATATATATATATATAAGATCTATACATATGTCACATATATATATTATATATATGATATAATTTAATTTCTTTCATTAGATGATAAGGATTATACTTTCAGTGCGTCGTTGCCTAACCGGATCCTAGGGTTTTGCTTTCAGATATCTTTACGGTTTAACTTTTGTTTTTTCCTCTATATGATGCACAAATCTGTGTTAATAGAGACTAGAGTGGAGAGAATCATCTCGAAGTACTGTCATTCGTAAAGTTTTAGGTATATTGTCTTCAGATATAAAGTGGGATTACCTTTTTAAAATCATTGACATTTCAAATGTTTTTTTTATAATTAGATCACATAAATATTAATTAAACCAACACTATATCTTAGTACTTTATAAAAGAAGCATATATATATTGAGCTGTTTAATTAATTAATCAATGCCATTTGCCAGATATCAAATTACGTGTCTTAATTACCGACATGATTACTTGATAACATTACCTGATATTTCTTTTCAACACGTTTAACCGAAAATCCGATATTCATTAGATTTATAGACATTTAGTTAATATCCAATATTTCGTGATATGTTGTAAACGATCGAACAAGTGAAACTATTCACTTATATAGCCAATTCAGTTTTGTAACCCGAACTGTTCATAAACAGTTAAAAACTAACGAATGGATATGAACAAATAAAGCATATGGCCATGTTCACATTAATTCTTAAGTATATGCTGTTATGTATCATATTTTCATTTTATTCAATTGAATTAGCTAGTAGTAATACCCTGTTATCATTTAATTTCGTTCTTTTGCCATTATAACCACTTGGAAACAGTAAAAGCCTCTTGAGTTGATCAACAGTTTATTGTTTTTACATAAAGTTTAAATTTGATTTTATGAGAATTAATACAGTGTTTTTGCCGAATGTTAACTTATAAAAGATTCCAACGTTTTACATGTACAATCGTTCGCCATAGTTCTATGTATTACGTACGGATTAAACTATCCACATATTAAAGATTCGTGTATTTCTTTAACATGCGTTAGAGTACTTTATACTTTTAGTTATCTTTTTTTCTTTGTTCAACCATACTTTATACTTGTAGTTATCTAATTATCCATTTTACTATGAAATCATTTTGTAAAAAAATATAGTACACTATATACTGTATATGTTAACTATATCAATTGTAATCTAACGATGTCATCTCTAAAAGAACTTACCCGCATCGCTTTCCTAGAAACGACTTAAATAACCTTAATTAGTTACAGAGTCAAAATATTGCTTGCCAACTACATCTCTCATAAGCAATGTAAATTATTGCTCTAGCAATTGTTGTAGACATAATACTTTCTAGGGTCAGGAAGGTTAATAAGGTCCTCTAATGGTTCGAAGTTCGAACAATAAGAATTTGAGCTGCCTTGAATTCCCATTAACTCAATCAGATTTTGTTTATTTTGAAAAATCGTGGCCCACAAATACGCGTCGTTGCTTTGAAAGAAGAAGTAACATGAGACCAATATACGTTTTACTAGTCAAACTCAAAGCCGTCTTCATGAAATTCCTGAAATTGAAAAGATAAAGCAGTATATACCAAATCACAAATTGATCATTATTAACAATGGAGTATATATCAATATATGTGTATGTGTGTGTGCATTCGCGCGCGCAATATATCGAGTTTGATCTTCAGCGGTTCAGCCATTGGCCAGGGTCTAAGTGTATAAAATTTTCACATATATATTAATTATGTATATGCATAGATCATAAATATATATAGAGGTTAACTAGGTGTGATCCAATTATATTTAAATTATGTTCACCCATTCTTTTTTATTTTTCACTTCACAGTTTTATTAGAATAAAGAAAAAGGACCACAGTCTGAATTCTCTTTTTATGTGTGTGTGTGTGTTATGAATGCTTGTCGTTGTCCTTCATCATTACTTCTCTTTTACATTTACAAGTAGTTGCCACTCTTCAATTTTCTCCATTGTCCTTTTTCTCTCTATTCTGTCTATGATATTTCGAACGTTGTGAGGAACACTCT